GGTACCAATAATAAAATTTCTATGTTTGCCAAGTTGCTCTCCAGTCCCCAAAAGGGGGATCCCAATGCATATCCTAAACCTTTCCAGTGTAAACCATGACCATGATTTTAACTTTGATAACTGATTAAAAAAAATTTTTTTAAAGCTGTAGCCTTTTATTTGTATTGGCTCTTTCTTTGATCACTCTTTGGATTGACTAATATTTAATGGCCACTTGTTTTTTTTTTTTTTTTCTTTTTTGCATTGCTTAGTTGGCTTCTTTTAGGGTATTTCAAAAATTCAAAAATTGGTTTGTAAGAGTGCCTCACATAATATTTTTGAGTCACAAAATTTTTAAATGTCATATAGTACTTCTGCTTATTATTTGGACATTCTAGCCAATTGATCTATTTCTATGCTGTACCACAAGCTTAATTTTTGTATTAGTCATTGTATTTTAATATCTAGTAATATTCTTCTTTCACAAATGTTTCTTAGTATCATGCATATGCATTCTTCAAATGGAATTGAAATTAATTTTGTTGAATTTAAAAATGAGAATGAATTAAACACAAAGCACCTGTTCTGTCTGCCTCAGGGGAGTCTGTGTCTTTGTGATGCTTGGTATTGTTGCTGTCGGGGATTGAACCTCCGCCCCCTGAATGCTGGGCAAGCGCTGTACCAGCCACCACGCTGGGACCCAGGCCTGTGAGGCTGGGTGAATCCAGGACTCAGCTCGCTATTATATATTGAAGTCTTCTCTCGGGTCCCTCTATGATATTTTGCACTGTACATCTAGGTCTTACACCTTTTAAGTTTATGCCCAGGCATTTTTAATTTTTTGTTCCTCATGGAATGATATATTTTTCCTGGACATTTTCTACATCTTTCCTCTTTTTTCCCATATTCCTTCCCTCCCTTTCTTCTTATTTGGAATGGAGATTGAACCTAGTGCCTTTGCATTGAGTTATATTCCCAGCCCTTTCTTATATTTTATTTTGAGACAGAGTTTTGCTAACTTGTCCATGTCAAGCTCAAATTTTCAGTCCTCTTGGTTTAGCCTCCCCGAGTGCTGGGGTTATAGGAGTAAACCACCCTGCCTATTTTATATTTAACAAATGCTCACCCACTTTATAAATAGTCCTTTCCTAGATTTTTTTTTACCCTTTAGCTGCCCACATTGGGTTCTCCCTGCTTTTCTCTTCTATCCACATATGGGTGCAGAATTAAATTTGAGTAGTAATCCAGGAAGACCACAGCAGCCTGCAGTCCTGGCCTCTCGGGATCCCTTTGCCCGTTTGTATAGATAAGTCTGGTGAGACCAGAGGGGTACGGTACTCCCAGCCAAAGATCAGGTCTCCCAGGAGCAGCAGAGATCAGAGAATGGAGCACACAGAGGGAGCTGTGATTAACACAGCAGGAGGTTCTGAAGAGCGGACTTTGGGTTTGGCTGATCAACACAGCAGGAGGACCAACCTCAAGCAGTATGGTGATGGGAGAGGAAGGTCACACGAAGGACCAGGGCTGAGCACGCGTGGTCGGGGAGGGGCCGGTGGAATGGGCCAGAGACAGCAGAGGTGCCAAGGAGCCCCTGGATGAGCAGGGCCGGTGTTTGTCCCTATATGCCACTGCCGCTGCCTCACCTGCTGAGAAACCCTTGTGGGTGCTTTCTAAGAGCATAAATTCAAGGGCTGTCCTCCCAGAAGGCCCACACTGACTGCAGCACCGAGTCCCAAGGCTGCATCATTTCTAACTCCACCAGAACAGGGCCTGTTAGCGTTTATGTCTGCTCCCTGGCTTCTAAAGTTCCACAGCACCCAGTATTTACTGAGCACCTGCTGAGTGCCAGGCGGCTGTGTGACACCAGCTTGTGTGCCAGATGGCAAAGGTGAGCCATGACTTTCAGTTTGACTCTCCACAGGTGTTGGTGGTCAAGTCACATCCCTCGGCCTCTGGGAATCCACCTGTGAAATTATCTTTTCTCTGTTACACACTTACCCTGTATGCTCATACCGGGGGTTTTGTTCCATTACCTCCTCATTTGGGAGTTTCGCCTGTGCATTTCACTGTTTCTTTTTGGAAATTATTTCTGGTGAGCTTGGAGTGTAGGATGGGGGTGGATTCCCTGCTGTTGTGTCATCTCTGAGAGCCTGTGGTTGCCTGGTGTTTCTGTGGATGTGGGGACATCCCCCTCCCTGACCTCTGGGGCTCACCCCCCAACTGCAGCCAGGGATGAGATCAAAGGTTCTGCGGTTCCCAGGGCTCCACTTACCAGGTTTCTCCACTAGTGTGGTTTCTGAATTTCATCTGTGTCTTCCTAAAGAATTAGCTCTTGTATTTCTCCTTATAACGTAGACTTGATTCTAAGGCATTTTATTGAGAATGTATGTTGAAGTGTTGTGAATTCCTCTTTTGATAATTTGTGCCAAATTTCCTGCTAATAGGTGCAACGGGAAGAACACAGGCTTGGGAATGGGCAGCGTTGGGTTCAAATCTCAGGCCAGCTGTAGCCTGGGCAAGTGGCTTCAGCTCTCCAGACTGCTCTTCCGCCTCTGTGGAATGATGTGTGTAAGTCAGCGCAGGTGACCACAGCAGCAGTAAAACCGACAGAGATTGACTGGAGCGCAACTAAGATCAGGGACTCAGTCACAGACGGAAGTCAGGGCCACTGAACTTCACTCTCCATGCTGCTCTGGACTGGCTGAAAGTCCTTACCTGTTTTTGCTTGTTTGTTTTTACTGTTTTGCTTTTGGATTTGTTGGTTGTTGTTGAGACAAGGTCTTGCTAGGTATTCCAGACTGGCTTCAGATCTCTCTGGAGTTTAGGCCGACCTCGAACTCATAGTGATCCTCCTGCTTAGTCTTCCCAGTGCTGGGGTCACAGATGTGCGCCACGATTAACCTTTACCTGGTTTTTATTTTTAGATCAGCAAGTCCAGCTCTCTTCCCGTCTGGCTTTTTGCATGTGTGTTGATTTCCCCCTCTATCATCACTCATGCACAGGAACTGGCAAGGAGGTGTCAGTCTGTCTGTCTGTCTGTCTCTCTCCTGTCATTTTTTTGTATTCTCTGCATGTATATACCCCTTGCAAAAAGGGATTAAGATTCCATCTCCAAATTCTTATGGAAGAACTATGATGATCCCAGCAAAAGGACAAAGTATTGATCACCTGGGCTGGACATCAGTGATCAGCGGAAAGGGTCACCACCCTATGTGAACAAGACAGCTGCCATCGAAAAGCTGGGAACAGAATGAACAGTGCCCTTATTTTCTTTCTTTCTTGCACTCTTTCTTTCTTTTAAAGTTCAGCCCCATTAAGGTATTGTGCTTTACTTTTTTGGTACTAGGGATCGAACTCATGATCTTGTGCTTGCCAGGCAGGTGCTTATGCCACTGAGCTAAATCCCTGGCCCCAAGAACAGGCATTTGCTAAAGGAGCTGCTGCCAAGAAATCCAAGCATCCTTATATTTTAGGGTTGTCAGGAACAGACTCTGAGCTCATCCTACAATTGCACCTGGGTGACAGTCAACAAATCAGCAGCCCTCCGCCTGGCTGCTTATTCCCCATTAGCTGGACACCCTGGGGACAGATTCTATTTCATTTTAGTGAAAATTCAATTTGTGCATTTAATCTGTCTATTAAATCCCATTTGTGACTTCTATGCCTATGTTTATATCAATATTGATCTATTTTTAGATGTTTAAAAATGCGACATCATGTCAGGTTTTGAAATTGTGTCTGATTAACCTCACAAATTGAATGGGATGAAAAATAATTTTTCATATAGTTTCAAATGATTCATATAATGTAGAGATTATTTATGTTTTCAGGTTATAAAAAGATCCTTCCCAGGAGGCAGTGGAGGTGACCTTAGGTGGGCTGTCAGAAAGTCCAAACTTCAGTTTGGTCTCCGTGTTCTGTGAGACCTTGGACAAACTTCTGCCCTCTGGTCTCTCCAGGGTCAGTGAGGAGAGTTGGGCTGGCTCAGATGGTTTCTTGGTCCCCACCCTGCTGACTTTTGGGGACGGTCAGCCACCCGTCCTTAGGGAAATTCTTTGGACAACTCCACCACCCCCTCCCCCTGTACCTTCCTGGACCCCTCTAGCAGACTTATTCTCATGGGCTTTTTAAATATATCTTTTTCCTTCCCACACTTGAAGAGCTCTGTGCCACACATCCATTCCTCTCTGGGCCCAAAGTTCTGCTTTTGTTTTCCATGGGTGTGGGTCGTGCCTTGGGCATTGATTTCTTGATTCCCTGTAAGTGGTCCTGGGAACAGAATGCATCCTGCCTGTCTCTGCAGTCAAGAATTGTCTTCCTGGACATCCCCAGGCGCCTGGCCCAGGCCCTGGAGTCCCTCCATCCACCACCTCTGGCGAGATCTGCTTTTGCCCTCCCCCATAACATCTTTCCTGAGCTGACAAATTCATCCTGAAGGTCCCCACCAGGGCACCTCCAGCCCTGTTCTCTCCCCCACCTTCAGCTCCTCGCGGCACAATGGAAGAGGATGCCCCAGACAGATGCTGAGAAATGGCAGGCAGGTCAGGCAATGCCGGGTGCTCATAGAGAAGCCCTTCTCAGGTGCTCCCACTTGTGCTGTGTGGGAGGAGACAAAGCGTCTTTGGTAACCTTCCATGAACTGCTTCTCCCTCTTCAGCATCCCAGCCCTTCCTGAGCCAAAAGAGGGCTGTGGGAATGGCTTTGCTTAAAAAAAAAAAAAAAAAAAAAAAAACAGTCTTTGTAGAAAATTTGGAAACTAAAGACAAGCTCAAAGAAGGAAAAAACCTTGTAATTCCACTGCTCACTGAGAACCACTGTTGGCCTTCCTTCTCTTTTTCCCATGGATGTATAAATGCTTTTAAACCTAATGGAGCGCGTGCTGAATATACTGTTTTATAGCCTGCTTTTTTTTTTCAGTTGGCCACATGCCATTACACAGTCTTCTGCTTCATCATTGTATACACCACCTACAGATGGTGCGACCTTCCGATTGGGTGTTAGAATAATTTCCAGCCGGGCACTACTGTCAGTAATACTTTAATGGAAATTCATATGAAAAAAAAAATCCTAACTCTCTTTTTGTGTTAAGTCCTTAACAAGCTCACTGGGGCTTATCAAAGGTAAGGATTTTTTGAGCACTGTGCCATACCTTGCCAAAGAGTCCTCCACAGAGGATTTGCAGGATGTCAGGCCCTCCCACACCTTACATGTTCTTCTCATCTCCACCCTGATTTTGGTGTGGAAAATCATTTGACCCAACTTAGAAGCTGGGCCTCCAGATGCCCAAGGGGTAGCTAGCAGCAGGACAAAGTGCGATGCATCTGCCTTTGTTTAATACTCGTCTCCTTTATTACCTTAAAACATGGGGTCAGACTGGGTAGGAGACGAGGACTGGGGCAAAGCAGTCGAACAACTGGGTGAAATGTGTCAAATCATGGGAACCCAGGGACAGTCACAGAAAAGCATCTCCAGACCGAGTCTGCAGTCCTTAGCATTGCACATGGAACCAACCCGCCCTATTTTGAATTTGTCATTTACATCTTACTCAAAGGCAAGTGAGCCTTCGACAGGGCAATTCAAATCTGCTCAAGTGAGTTTCTGACAGGACATACAAGACAGCTGTCCCAACTGGATGACTTATTTGAGTGAATAGAAGCTGATTCGGGAACTTTGAGGAGGTGGGGATATAGCTCAGCAGGTATAAGCACCTGCCTGGCAGGCACAGTGTTGTGAATTTCATTCCTGTTACAAAAACAAAACCAAAAACCAGGAACTTTGAATGCAGAAAGACTCCTTTCCCCTGTGCCCAGGGCTGCTGTGAGCCTGCTCACCTGCCACTCTCACTCTGTTGACAATAGATAACACACCCCGCTACCTTTTCTGGGTGTTCTTTCAGAACACCAAGAACCTGCAAAGAGCCCCACCGGGACCCACCTGGTAACGAAACCCCTGCTCAGCTCTGCCCGTAGGTGTGTTAATTAAGGAAACTGTCCAAAACACAGCCATACGAGGTTTGTTAGCCCTAGATTTACTTAGCCTCTTTCATCCACTTCAAGACGAAGGACACCAAGACAAGAGAAACCCAAGTGGTTTTTAGAGTTTGCAGGGACATTCAGTCGCCAGTTTTCTAACTGTATGGTTTTAGCCTCTCTGGGCAGTGCCTAGAAGTCTTCCATCATGTCCTAGACATGCAGTCCCTTCGGATCCAGGATGAGCAGAGCGACCCTCGCACACGACCCCTTGATGTGCTTAGTCACCCAGGTGGGCCCGGCTCAGGCAATGAGGGTTCTCCTAGAAGGTTCTGAGATAGTGACCAAGACCAAGACTCGACCCGAATTAGTTCTCAGTTATGCAAATCCCCGCCCCCACACATATACTACACAAACCCCCAACCCTTGCTTCTGTTCCCCTTTTCTATAAAACCCCAAAGCTTTTGTCAGCACTTGAAGACAGATCTTAAAACTGTTTTTCTGTCCTTTCAAGGAAAGCCATGATGATTAAAGATCTCCTGTCCTTCCCCAGTGCTTTGGGACAGTGGCCCAGCCTATATTCTCAGGGTCCCTGGAGTCGGAGAGAACTGGGATTCTGGGTAAATAGGAAAGTGATGGGGGCTTGCAGGACGCTGGTCCTTGCTCCTCTCACGGGGTCGGTATCCTGCGGCATGGCTGGGAGGAGGACCTGCTATTGTTTCTGGAGGAGCGTAGTTTCTGCCTTCTTTTCTGTACCTTAGAAGATGTTCGCCCTTTACAGATGGCATAGAATTCATCTGCATTCTTTTCCAACCTGTGTCATTTTCAAAGGCTTGAAATTTGGTGCAGTTCATGTCAAATCTGGTCTCATGTGAGTGGGGGACGCATGCACAGGGTCCCCTCTGCAGACAGAGATGCCACTGGCTGGACCGGTGCTAACTTCCAGCCCAGTGGATGCAGGGCAACTTCCAAGGGCTTCGTTTGTGTCTTTCCATGGTCTGGGAAATGTCAAGAGCCCTTCAGATCTTTAATTGACCTTAAAAAAGGGAAAGAATCTCATCAGTTGTATCTGGTCAGCACATCATACAGCAGGGAAGTAGAGGCTGAGTCTGCACATGCCCAAGAGATAACTAAAAGCAGGATAAACTTTGGCATCTCTGCCTTCATCTTGTATTTGTCTCCTTTGTTACCTTAAAAATTTAGTCCTATGGCCAAGAATTTGGCCCAGTGGTATAAGCGCCTGCCTGGTGAGTGCAGGGTCATAAATTCAATCCCCAGTACCAAAAGGAAAAGAAATTTAGTCCTAGACCGGGCATGGTGGTGCATACCTGTAATCCCAGCACTTGGGAGACTGAGGCAGGAGACTTACTGTAAGGTCAGCCTGGGCTACATAGCGAGTTCAAGGCCAGCCTGAACTACATCACAAGACCCTAACTCAAAAAAAAATTTTCTTTTAGACCTAATACCCAGAAGTCTTTAGATTGGCACTTTTTGTACCAGTCATCACAGAAATGGCCAGAGGCTTGCCAGTGACCACATGGGATGACAGAGCCAAAACCAGGTATCTTTGCCCCACTTTGTTGCCTAGAAAACCCTTACCCCAATATTTAAGGCCTCGGTTGACTATTTTCTGTCTTAGGAGGGCTTGCTAAGATCAGCCGTCTGTTACCAGGCTTACTAGGCTAGACTGCTGCTATTACTGCTTCCAATTAGTCTCCCCAGCCTCCCAGGTTCCAGCAGGGGTTGGACACAAAGCACATAATAGTGACCACTAAGTGGAAGAAAGAAAGAAACAATAGAAGAAAAGAAGCCAAAACTGCAGTGTGGCCTAAGGCAGGTGTTCTCTCTAAACTTAGCTGTCAAATGGGGTAACGGTCTCTGTGTTCTCTGGGCCAGACCCTGTGCCAGAACTAAAAACAACCACCTGCCATCCCTCTGAGAGATGCTGGTGTGAGTGGGGACTACTGTGGCTGAACTTGCCGACCAAGAGGAATGTCCAAGGATCCCCCCACCTGATCGGGGCATTTCTGAGCCCTGGTTTCCTGCTGGGTTCCATGGCTGCTACATCCATAAAGTCTAGAGGCCTAGGAGTCACAGCTGACCATGTCCACAGTTGGATAGAGACCCACAGTGGGGAAGAAGACCTTGGGGACCCAGGACAGAAAACAGCAAATTCCCCTCCCCAATGGAAGGGACAGGCCTGGAGAAGAAAGACAACTGGCCACCACCCTACAGCCATGCCCAGGACCGGCCTGTTCCTACAATGGAGAAAAAGACAAGCTGCATTCAGAGGAAAACAAACAAACAAACAAACAGTTCAGCGATCATTAGTCACAACGATGGCCCAAGGTTTTTGAGTTAAAATATTCACAAGTAGCAGAGACATCTGTAGGAAGAGTAACTGGATGCGACATTCTGCAGGAGGCCAGGCTAAAAGTGTCCCATGACATCACTCAGGCGAGGAAGCTGCCAGGAGCCGCTCAGGGACCTCGAGTGCCCTGCAGCTCAGTGTCACAGAGGAGGACAGGGCCTGGGACTTGCTGGCCAGTCCCAGGGCCCTGCTCTGTGAAGGAACTCTGCTAGACCCTGGCCCACAGAAAACATGTCTGCTCACCTCCTTAGGCTGGTCTGACCTGGGGGTTACATTCCTCCTGCCCAGCGTCTGGTTCCCTGCGGGTTTTCTTCTGAGTATCAGCAGGTCCCCAGTTGGTCCACTGCCACTGAGGGTGGAGGTGGGAGACTGTAACAACCATGCCCCTTGCTGGGAGGGATCCTGCCACACAGCCTGTGTGATACCCCCTTGGAGGAACCCTGCCAAGCTTGAGATCCCAGCCACGTCCTTGCCAGACTGTGCAAGCAAGTTCAAGCAAAAGCAGATCTCCCCGATCCAGACCCTGAGATGGGGCATAAGGTCCCCTCATGAAGATCACAAGTGACACATCTGCAGAGCAGCACCGCTAAAGGAAGGCACACCAGGCAGGCCAGGTCACCAGCTGCTCCTGATAGCGTTCCCCATGCACCAGCTGCTGCGCTTTGCACTCAGGGCCCAGGGCAGGTGGTCGCTGTCCACCCTCTGCTCCTTCATCTCCCTTCTTTGGTTTCCCACCCTTTTCTTCCTGCGTTCTGATCTCAGGCCGCACCTGGCCTAGGAGGATTAGCTGCCGGAGCGCTGTCCTCGGTGCTGGAGGCTCGGCGGGCCTGGGTAGTTTGAGGAAAGCCAGAGCTTCAGAAGGTGATCTTGAGGGGCTGGAGATATAGCTCAGTGGCAGGCAGTCGTGAGTTCGATCCCTGGTACTGATAAAAACAACAACAACAACAAAAAAAGACAAAAAAAAAAGTGTGAGGGGTCCAGGTTAGAGGGCCAGCCCCTATTGTAAGGGGGGAAAACATGCCACTGGGCTCCCTCCTTCCCATTCCAGGCACTGAAATGGAGGAACCAACACTTCAGGCCAGCAGGGTGAGCCCTGAGACTGCGGACCTCTGCATGGCCTGTCAGTATAGGCACAAGGGCTGGGGGCCTTCTGTGCCACCTGTGGTGGTATATGAAGACCATGACAATCTGTGTCTTCATGGGACACATATGATCCTATGAAGCTGCCTGTGACTTCATGCGGCCTGCCTGTGACAGGTGCCGGGATAGGGCAGCCTCTGGCCTCTGTAAGAGCCTCCTGTGACCTTGTGGAGCCTCAGACCTGAACTGTGCATGCCCAGAAGACCCGGGCACTATCCAGTCTAGTTGCCTCTCCTTACTATAACCTCCCGCCTCCTCATCCTCCCTGGTTTTGCAGATCTGGTGCCCCGGGCGGGGGTGGAGGGCCTCGGGATCGGTCCGTGGCCTATCGGAGTGTGCACCGGGACAGGTGACCGCGAGCCCGCGACACTTGGGCCAACCCAGCTGGGAAAGCTACGCCGCGCCGCCCTGCGCTGCGCTGCTGCCGGGTCGCGCGTCGCCGGGGTGCGTGGCGGCGCTGGTGGCCGTGCGCCCCCCTCTGGCCCGTTTCCCCAGGACGTTGGGGGCGCGGGCCGAGGGCGCTGCAGCCGCCCCTCCCCCGCGCCGGCTCGCCGTGCGGACGCGGCTCGGCGCCCCAGACCCAGCCGGGCTGCAGCGCGCGCTCCCCCCACCCCGCCGGTCTCCGCAGCGGCGTGGGAGGCGGGGGCTAAAAATACCCGGCGGCGGCGGCAGCGCGGCAGCGCCTGGACCGTGCGGCTGCGGGCTGCGGGCTGCGGGCTGCGGGCCGGGCTGGGCCGGGCCGGGCCCAACTAACCGACATGCTGACCTTCTTCCTCGTGTCGGGGGGCTCCCTCTGGCTCTTCGCGGGTAAGTCCCGGTGCGGGTTTCCATCCCAGGCCGCCGAGCCCCCGCCCCCGCTGTTGCCGAGGCTTCCTTCCAAGGTCCCCGGGGCGCCCTCAGTGCCCGCGGGCTCCGGGCCGGTCTGGGAAGCAGCTGGGGCCGCTGCGTTGCTTTCTGAGCCCTCCTAACAACCAGATTTCAATTCCGGAGCCCCTCTCCCCTTAGGGCCAGGACCCCACTGAACAGATTAGGCCCTGATCCAAGGCAGGGACAGACTGACTGCGTCCTTGGCCATCTCCAGGGATCAGAAACCAAGGGTGTTGGATCCCAAGGTCCCAAGCAGGTCAACCGCGGAGCCAGGACTCACTGGGCTGCTGATCCTGGCCAGGGGCCTCCTCCTGACTTCTCTCTGGGCGCCCTTCAGCCATAGTAGTATGATATTTCTGTAGAGTGAGTTCGCCCCTCTACTCTGCCCAGGGCTGTGTCCCTAGGAATCCCGGCCCCTATCAACACCTTAGGACTCAGTTCTCATCCTGGCACCTCCTTAGGAGGCTGGTCCCATGCCCAGAGCTCTCCCCAACTCCAGGTGCACCCACTCAGGGCAGGAGGCAGGGAGTGTCTGCCCAGGCCCACCCACCTACCAGGTCCCTGGAGCCTTCCCAGTGTACCTATGGGGGTCTCTGCAACCCCATTTTCAACCCCTTGTGTGGATCCAGTCTGATCATTCATGTGAAATGCATGACCCTTAAAGTGGCCCTAAACCTGACCTAGCCCAAGAGCAAATGCTCTGGGAATGTTAGTAGTTATTTCAAGTTCGAACAGCACTGTCAGATGTGATAATAAAGTCGTTTCTGAGCAAAGGAAGGGAAAGAAGTTGACCCTTTTGAGACCTTGTTACAGTATTTTGCATCTGTTATTTAACATTCACAGCAATCCCAGGAGGTTGGTGGTATCTCTCTCCTTTTTTTTTTTTCTTTTTGTCTTTTTGAGATAGAGTCGCACTATGCAGTTTAGGCTGTCCTTGAGTTCACTTTGTAGCCCAGACTGGTCTCCAACTCACAATGATCCTCCTGCCTCAGCTTCCTGAGTGCTGGGATTACAGGCATGTGTCACCACACCTGGCTACTGTCCCTTTTTTGTTGAGAGTCAGGAGATAGTTGCCTTGCTGTGTGGCACACATATCTGGCAGACTGGAATTTGACTGGTGAGGTTTTAACTGATCAACCAATGGCACATGCTCGGGTATGTTAGGCCTGAACCCAGAGGGTTGATGGGCTGAATAATGACCTCCCCTGCCCCCACCACTGGCCTGAGTTAGGCCATGGGATGCCTGCCCCAAGCTGAGGGAGTGAGTGAGCCCTCTCTAATCCCCTCAGCTCCCTAAGCTTCTTCCGTCTGCCAGTGTCTGGTAACAGGCTGTGCAGGGCCACTCTAGTCCTGAGGCACAGTGAACCCAAGACAAGGACAGGACTAGGCGTAATCGAAATGATAATGGTGGTGGTGACAGAGTCACCATTTATTGCCTGAGGGGTGGGTGGCCTCAGAACCCCTCCTAGTACCAGGACCCCTCTGCACTGCCCCCAGGAGCTCCCAATCATGAGTCCAAAACCTGGGTCTTCTCTGGCTATAAGGAAGCATCTGGGGACTGTCGGGAAAAGTCTCACTGTGCAGGATCAGGTCTGCAGTTGGGGTTCAGCTGTAACTGACTCAAACTGGCCTTCTGCCCTGCTCCCCCGTGGAACATTTCACAGTGTGGCCAGGTGCATCCTTGAGTAGGAAACAGGGCGATGTTCCTGCAGACAGACTCTACAGTTGTCGAGCAGGATGACTCCTGGTGTAGCTGGTAGCTGCTTTCTCAGACACTAAATTTGTCAATGCAGAGTAAGAGGCTGAGGCTAGAGAATGGCTGTCAGTGGACAGAATGCCGCAGGTACAAGGGGCATTCCTAGGTCAGGTGTCTGCACTCCCGGGACTCTGCTTCGACCCCAGCCCTTCTCTGGGGGGCAGAGGACACTCTTGGCCAAGAGCTGCAGGTGAGTGAGCACACCTGAGACTTCATGCTACCTCATAATCCACTTTGTAATCTAAGGTCCCTCTCACTCGAGCCAGAAACAGGAGGAACTCCTGAGGTCAGGTGGCTCTTTAATAGTCAGTGCACTGTGCCACCCAGTTGAGTCCCAGGCAAACAAGGTAGGGTGCGGCAAGGGCTGCCCTCCCTGCCTCAGAGAGGGAATGACGTAAGGAGACCAGAGCCACGTGGGGGAGGAGCTGTCTGTGGGAAGTCACCACCGGCTTTGGTTGTACGAGGTGCTCCCCGCTCCTGGTGTATTGTGCAGTACACAAGTAAACTAGGTCCAGCCTGAGGTAGATGCTGGGCCTGATATAGGAAAATGAACCCTCCATGCCATAAGCACCCAGAAGACAATGGGAGCAATGCACTGGAGTATCCGCCTGCCTCTGTGGCCGCTTTGTGCAGAGTGGAAAGAGGCATCGGTCTTGGACACATTTCTAAAAGGGCATCCCTTCCTCTAGGTTGGTGAAGATTGGTTCCCATGTAAAGGATCCAGTCTGCTCAACAGGCAGGGGAGTCCTTGGGAGGGTGAGTCTTAGGGGCTTGTGCCTGGGGACTGGGTGGCAGGTGAGGGTCCCAGAGGAAAGGGTTTAATTTGGGGGTGCAGAGTTACACTCTCTTTAGAAACATGGCCAGGCTGAGCTAGGCAGAAGGAAATTGGAGGCTAGGAACATGGTGTAATGTCCTGGGTGAGAATAGATATGGTCCGACAATGACTTGAGGCTGGCCTCCAGGAAAGGGAAGGAACGGGTGCCGGGCCCTGTCTGCCATGCTAGGGGAGTGGGACTCACCCTACTGAGATCAGACAGGGCTGCTGTCCCAGCGCTGATGTGGAAGGCATCTGGCTGTGGTTGTAGTTGACTTGCACCGTGTGACTCAGCTCAGCCCTATCCAATCCTACTCCTAACCCCAGATGTCCACTAGGATGCAGGACTGGCATGAGGTCTGGGACCACCTTAGGGAACCCAAGAAGGCAAGTAAAAAGTGGGACCGATGGTGGAGCATCAGGCAGAAGAGGCAGCCGTGTGGTCAGCTGGGAACATGCCTCACAAATGAAGTGTGGATTTGTTCAAGGTCCATTGGCATGTGGGAGGACCTCTAGGACTTTTTGTCATTTCTCAGCCTGGCTGGTAACCAGGAAATGTTCCAAAGAGATCACACTGACACCAGGGGGCAGCAGACCCCAGCCATTGTGCAATCCGACTGGTTTCTCTTCAGGATTATAAGGGCGCTTGGGTTGACCTTGAGAAGGTTGAACTTGAATCAGCTACCACCCCAGAAGGGACTCAGGGCTGTCCCATACCAGGGTTAGAGAGGGTGAGGCACTGGCTTGCTTGTAAAGAGGCAAATATTACAGGTTTTCCTACAGCAGAGGCCACCGTTGGTATCTAGCCGGAACTTGGCCCAGCAAGCACTCACATATTCACTAAGTAAAGTACTAGGTGTGTGGTGCTGCAAACTCTCTGATTAGCTACCGGTTCTCGGAGCACCGTTTCACTGTCCACCACCATGTCCCAGGATTCTGCGAGCTTTACTTTGCTCTCTCCACAGTGCTGTGCTTCTGTTGCCCCCACTTACTGGATAAAGTGAGACGCAGGGAGACTTACAGGGAAGCAGCTACAGGACTGGGGTGCAGCTCAGTGCTAGAGCTCTTACTTTGCATGTACCTACAAAATATCCCAGATTTCCAGTCCCAAAGAGGTCCAGGATTCCAACATGAAGAAAAGAAGTGAGGGAAGAAGTGCATTCTGGGCAGAGGGGCCACTGTGTGAAGAGAGATTGGCAAAGGGAAAGGGCAAAGTTAAAGGGAAAGTTCCACTTGGCCAGATCTGGGCTCCACGGGCCTGAAACACCAGGCCCCGCCAACTTCATCCGCGTGGTGGCTGCGTCGAGGAGGTACAGCTAGAACTGAGCATGCAGCGGCCAGGGTGACCCCACACTCCACGTGCCACCCAGGTCCCCTGTGGTGGCACACATCCCATTGGATTAGTCTTTGGCCTCCTCCATAAGTCTTACAATGTCCTTGAGGGAAGAGCCAAGGGGCCTCACCTCTGTCCTCAACCCAGGGTAGGACATGCGGTCTGCGTCATATTTGTTGCCTAAGTGAATGGTGTAAAGAATTGCTTGAGAATAATTTAATAATAATGTGTAACATAAACTGTTTACTCACCAAGTCGATGGGAGAGTCGGGCACTGTGTCCAGCGTGCAGATGGTGCATTAGGGTAGGAGCAGCACAGAAGAGCAGGAGTGGGGCCCTTGCAGGTGGGCCGGGTGCTGAGAACCAGGCAGCCCTGCACAGGAGAGGCTCCCAAGGGATTGATGAGTGAATGGCTGGGTACTGACCCACAGTTCAGGGGCACTTGTTTGGTGAAAGCTAGCCTTCTCCAAGGGCTGTTGTCTCTTTAGAGCTCCAAGAGATTCCAGCCTCTTGGAACAGTGGCCACTGCCAGGCATAACTGAGAGGACTCCCCTTGACCTGATGTGATTTTGGAAGAGGCAGCACCCCTGGACCTTCTGCTCTGCTCCCAGCCACCTAGACCACAGGACTCTGGCTTGGTGGCCAGGGAACTTCAGGGTTGATGTGACTTTATCTTCTGTGCGACAGAATGAACTTGGTCCTCTCATACTCATCCGTACTCAGCCCCATGCTCAGTGTATACTCAGCCAGCCTGCAGGCTGCCTCCCCCGGGCCTGGCTCACTCTCTCAGAAAGCTAGTCTTGTCTTGACCCATGGGCTCTTGGAGGGTTTGGAAACTTGTGGCTCTGACCTGTTTGCCCAGACCAGACCACACAGTAGGTGGTACCCTGTAAAGCGTGCTTTTCTAGATCTGTTCTGGACTTTTCCACTTCCTCGTCTGCCTCTTGATTCGCCTCCCCGGATGGCTCAATGAACTCTCATTGAGACCTGTTTGGCATCTTAGCTTCATGAGCATGCTGTGGGGCCAACTAAAAGCCGAGAGACCTAAAGAGGGACGTGGCAGTGGATGACCGGCCATCAGAGCTGGGCTGGAAGGCTGGCGGTGGACTGTGGGGGATTTGTGACCTCAGACTCAAAGGTCTTGCTGTGTCATTGCTGGGCGTGTGCGTGGCATCGTGATTGTAGAATGCAAGTTCTGTACTGTAGTTAAAGGACAGCTTTTAATAACTCAGAGTCTGAAAATGCCTGAAGTCTTACCTTGTCTGACGGCTGTGTAGAAGAAGGCACCTGAAGTGGGGGTGGGGGTGGGACTGCCTGAAATTCCGGATCCCACATACTGTCCTCAAGGTCACCACAAACCCCATGCACAGCTCAAGGGCACTTGGAGCAGCAGCCTTGTGGGCTCCAGGCAGAGTGCGCACCTGGTCTCCATTGATTTTTTAAAATCTTTTCAAGACACGTCTCACTGTGCAGTTCAGGTTGGCCTTGAACTCCCTGTAGCCCAGGCTGGCATTGAATTCCAAACAGTTGTCCTGCCTCAGCCTCCCGAGTACTGGGATTACAGGTGTGCACCACCACACTCAGCCATGGTCTCCATTCTTAAAAGCCCTGTGTGCTCCAGGGTCTCCTTGTCTCCCAGACATTTCCCTTCCATTTTTTTCCAAGTTCACTGTGAACGCCATGAGAATTCCTCAGGTTTCATTGTACGAACAGTTTTCTAGCTTCGTCTTGGCCTCTGCTGTTGTTGAGGAGGACAAGGCCTCCAAAGGGTGATCCTACCCCCTCCCACCTGCCCCAGCCTTACACAGGGCTCTCCTCAGCCGCCGTGGAGGCCTCTGCTGCCTTGCGTAAGGTGGTGGGTCCTCTTCAGAAGGTGACAAGTGAGAATTCAAGCGATGGATGCTCTCAGTAGGTCAGCATGAACGACGTCCAATGGCCTTCCCCGGGCCAGCTGGGGCCTCACTTTGCTTTGGTCTGAAAGACATTTTTGTTTTCTGGTGAGAACAGCCCCAGTCTGGCAGGGCTGTGGAGCCAGCAGCAGGAGTGCAAACCCTTTCATGTGACAGGCCCCAGTGGAGTGATGCAGGCCAGCCAGCAGCCAGCCCTCCCCTGCCCTCCTCGGGAGGGAGGGAGGCAGCCATTTGCATATTCCCCATTCATCCTGGCCTTGAAAAGGAGGCCTGACTGCCCAGAGCGCCCTGCCCAGCTCTAGGCTGGGTACTTGAGCCTGCTGTTAACCCTGTGATGCTCTCCCAGGCTGAGGCGGGGCTTGGGCTCTGCCCACCTGTGGGAGGGCAGCTCTGTGTGCAGCAGCTCTGCAGCTCTGACCTGCAGCGGGGAATTCAGGAGGTGACAGATTCTTGTTGACCAGCACCAACTTTTGCTGAACAGGAGGAAATTCCGATTTATTTCTTTCTCCTGTGGCATTTGGAAGGTAAATTGCATCAAGCATATGGAGCAGCCAGGAAATAAAGCTACTTGCTGAACTTGCCAGAAAATTAAACTACTTTTTAAAATCTCTTCATTTGCCAGAAAATGTATCCTTAACCAACAGCAAAAGTGTTTTCTTGCTCATTGTCTACTGTACACATGTGCACACAAACATGCACATGCATGTGCGCTCACGCAGTAACACCGGCCTGCTGGGTACAGTGGGTGCACTTTAGCAGTGGTGCAGGGAGAGCTTGCCTGGGACACTTTTACATCCCAGCCAGCTCTTCCTCCCTTCCTGTAATCTGTCCCATGCGCCAGTGGGTGCCATTAGCTCCTGCGCCATGACTTGGAAAGCGAGCACGTATACGGTACCAACTTGAGTACCTTGCCTTATGCAGCTCACCGCCGACTGCCAGCCTCGGTTTCCCACTCTGATCCTCAATACAGCCAGGTCCTCGTAGTTGGAGGCCCCTGAGCTGCATCTTACAGGCTCTTCCTGTGACTTACAACCCACTGTGTCACCCTGCCCAGCAGCTCTCCTCCCTTCCCATCCTGCTCCCATCCTGTCCTAGCTCTCACTTCCTGAGGGAGGATGTGTCTGAGAATCTGTCTTTAGTGTACTTTCCGCTGAACTGATGTCCTCGATGGGCCCACAGTGCTGCTAAGTGGACAAGCAGGCAAGCAAGTCCCTCTCTGCTTCCCCCGCCTCTGGCTTCCTAACCGTATCTTGCCAGGACCCTCCCCATCTCAAAGCTCCTCCTAGCTGGAGGAGGTGACACTGTCCCACCTGTAGCTGATCACCTGCAGGGGAACTCTTGCATGGTCCTCCCAGGAGCAGTTGGTGTCCCTGGTAGAGTTTGGACCTGTGAGGCTTATGGTGTCCCCAGTTCGGGCCAGCAATGGAAACGGATCGCTCTTCCTGAGGCCACGACCCCGGCAGTATTAATACACACTCATCTGGGAAGGAAAAGGATCCTGTTACAGCTGCAAGACTTGGCTACTTATACAGTGAAGCCTGGTGAAGCCTGGCCAGGGGGTGTCCCTTTGCCTGCATGGTCAGCATGGCCCTCGCTGGTATCCTCCGAGTTCTGCCTGCTGTCCCGGCACTCGCTGTGGAAGGAAGGACAGTGACACCCTGGCCTAGCCACCTCACCAGTCTCAGTCTAGGCCCTGAACCTATTTGCAGAGGGTCCCACTGTCTGTTTTACCTGTTGTCCCTCTTTGTTCTGAGAATTGCGCTGTGCCTGACTCACAGCAAGGCCAATCTTTATCTCAGAGCTTGCAAAAGACACTGTGTTTCTGTTTGTCCCTCTGCATGTCAAGGCTGTTTGTATTTTTGAATTCTGAAAGGGATTTTGAGCCTGGCTTCCTGAGACAGTGGTCAGGAATGTGGATCCATGTTCCCTGGGCAGGACTTCGGGTGAGTGAGGCTCTTGGGGGGGTCCTGTTGTGAAGATGGGAGCACAGGCAGTGAAGACTGCTAATGGGGGTGTGTCCATAGTGGGTTTGGGTAGCCACGGTCACTGCAGAGCTTAACTCAAATTTCACAGCTGCTGTGGGGCTCCCCAGGGAGGCCAGGCAGGTGAGCTGCTGGGTAACTCGGCAACCTGTGTTGTGGGCTGCTGTCTCATGGGGGACATACAGTGGGTCTCTCCTGAGAATTCTCGAGTCGGGAAGGCCCTTGGCCCCATCTCTGCCTCAGTCATCTGAGGTCTGAGGCTCTGTGAATCTAATTAAAACCCAAGAGGAAAACAGAGAAAGCCCTTCTCTCAGAGCAGAGGCAGCAATAAGCCCTGTGTGGGTGGGGTGGTCATTGGAGCCAGTGTGGTCTGCGTGGGTGCATCTGCAGGTCAGGGCAGCATGGGAGGGGTGGCGAGGGGCACACAATTCCTGGGGCAGAACTGGGACCTCGGCTCCAGGCCTCTGGCATCTCGCATGGTTTGCCACCAGCAAGTTCTTCAGTTGTGGCCTCTGGATTTCCCACCCCAGAGATTTCCCTGAGAGATATTAGAGAAAGATTTTGTCATATTTAAAGGAAGACATCTCTGGATGCCATGGAGGTTCTGCTTGAAGCAAAGGAAAAGGCCCTTTGTGAGCCAAAGGTAGGTCCTTAGGTTCCACTGTGGGATCATCAGGGTGGATCGGGGGACCCGGGGGCCAAGTTCCGGGCAAGCTGCTGAGGTTAAGAAGCTCCTCCTGTGGCTGCCCCAGATGGTGAGGTGGGTAGTGTAGAATCTGATCAGCCCCAGAGGCGTTTCCTGCCTGAGGGCTCTAGAGTTGCCAGGCAGTTCGGGCAAATAGCTCTCAAGAGAGAGCTTAGAACACAGGACCATGCCCTGAGACGTTTGAGCTGCAGGGGAAGTGAGCTGCATTTCGGTGGACACAGTGGCCTGGTGGGGACAGACCGGGAAGTGCGCAGAAGGGCTTGGTTGGGGTCTGATTTGCCTTTTCCTCGCCAGCAGCTGAAGCTGTTTCTACTGTGTGCCCGGCCACACATTAGCCGGGGAGATGAGAGAGAAAATCCACGAAAGTTGGGATGAAAGAACTACAGAAGTAGCCAGCGCCACCCCCACCCCGGGAGGCAGGCTTGAAGGAGCAAGGCTGCCGGGGAGGCCCGGTTCCTCCGTGTTCTTGGTAGAGGCGGTGCATTTCAGAGCTCAGATTTGGGTCCAGCAGGACAGGGTGTAGATTCTGGCTCCAGGCTTATCCCTAGGCAAGCTAGGAAATAGTCTCTCTTAGGACAAACATTAGGAGGAGACTGGCACAGTGCTCTAGAGTCTTAGGGTCTTACAGGGCCGCTGAGTCACCAGTTGCCACCCTCTGGAGTATCCCCATTCCACAGGAAGATGCTATCTGAGACTGCCCCATTGCCTGCCTTTCTCCAGGTGGAGGGGTTGTGGCCTTGGAGGGGCGGTGGGGGAGGCAGCACCCAGGAGGTTCGGGTAGAGGGTTTCCTGGGTGGGTGGTGCAGGCTTCCCTCAGCACCATAGGGCTGGCATCATCCCCCTCCACCACCTCCTCCCCCTCTAGTGCTGTGCTCCCTGCAAGTCTTCTCTGCCATGGCTAGAGCCCTGACCTCTGTTAGTGTCTCAGATGGCTGCCCAGAGGCGAGCTCCCTCCAGGACAGATGAGGATGGGGAGATGAGAGGGGTCCTTGTCAAGCCCCCAGCAGACTGGCAGAGGGAGGGTTAAGGCTGGGTTGCCTGAGCTGGTCTGAACCAGCACCGCCCCGCCCCGCCCCGTGTGTGGGTGAAGGGGGGCCATTGGGGGCCTCCAGGGGCCCATGGAGGCTCCTCCTCACAGAGCTGCTCTGTGCCTTGGTCCCTGCCAGACCTATTCCTTACAGCCACCAGGGAGCCACCGCCACCAGCCACCTCGGCTAACACCTCTCCCACCACCCGCTTCTCAGAGCCAGCAGCTGTTGCTACCGGCAGTCCCCAGGGCCAGGGCCTTCTCCACTTTTGTGCTTTGATCAAGATGTGGTAACCTCTTTCCCGGGGCCCTACAGGCCCTATAAAAGGAGGCTGGTTTTAGTGGGACCCGTTCGGCCACCTCCTCAGTGCCAGGATCCCGCTGGAAAGGTAGGGTGGATGCATCTGCTTTTGCAAGTTGTCATTGAGGCCCTTTGCCTGGCACACAAATAGAGCAGCTGCTTCAGCTAACCCCTATCTACCAGGTGTTTCCTTGTCATGTGCCTAGCCTTGCTCTCTGTCCAGGAGCTTGACTGAGCAGAGGCCCAGAGGGGTGCAGTGACTTGTCCAAGTCCACTAAGCTATCAAGAGTCTGAGTCAGGATCTGGACCAGTGCAGTGCAGTACCGGAATCTCCCTTTAAACTCTTTCTCAAGCTTATTTATAGAGTCCCTGGGCCCTAGGAGGGGCTGCAGTTTCCTTTTTGGAGCTCTTCACTGGGAGTTGAGGAGGTTCTTGGCAATTTGGTGTCTTGGCTTGTGCTTCTGTGCTATTGCTGCAGTCCTGGGATGTTCGCAGAGGCCCAGGACCCCATTGTAAGGTGGCGGCTACAGAGGAAAGCCGGGCAGGTTCCAGGGAAGGGAAGATCCTGAGGGCCATGCAGGGCCTGGGTGCTAGGCTGATGTGCTTGGGTTTGGTGCTGAGGCCATAGAGAGCTAAGTCATGTTTTGGTGCAGTAACATGACCTGATTGCACCGTTGCAGCAGGAAAATAATTGCCTCAGTACATCACTGGCTATAGCAAGAAGCCCGATGCAAAGGCTGGTATGGGGATTTTGGCTGCACTTGGTGCTGACTGGACGTGGCCTGGGACTGGTGGGTGGACAGGCGTGGTCAGGGTTGAGAGGTATAGGAAGTGGTCCTTCCTCATGGAGCCATGCAGCAGGGGTGCAGAGACCTGGAGTCCTGGTGAGACGCTGCTCCAGCAAGGGTTCATGGGGGCTGAGTCAGTGGCCCCAGGATCACTGCAGGGACCAAACCATCTCTCCGAGCTAACCTGCTTCCCCCAGAATTTCTCTATTTCTCGAATCCTGGATCCCAAGAGCTGTGGCTTTCACTGTGCAGCCTTCTTGCACCCTGATCCAGCAGAGGGCGCAGTGAGAGGAAAGGAGGTCCCACGTAGTCCTCTGCATGGTTCTGTGCCCAAGGAAAAGGCACAGGCTCTGCCAGGAGGGGAGGAGGCGGTGGTTAGTGCTTGTGGAGAACTGCTCCTGCCAGGTGAATATTTACAAACACTCACAGCCGCTCACTTGGTAACACCAGCACCACTGATCCCTTGGGTGCTGTCTATCCCTCTCCTTCCCCTGTGACTGCTGTAACCCAGAGAGGCACCTGGGCAGGTAAGGAGGCAACCATAGCTGGAAACCCAGGGACCATCTAGCCCCACCACAGGCTGGCAGAGAGGTCAAAGGAGGACAAGGCCCCGTGAAACAATGAGAGACACCAGAAGACCTCTTACATGCCCAAGGGCTTAGTGGCATGGCGTGGGCTGGCTCTGAGGCTGATGTCCTCAGAGCGCCTGGACTCACAGTTCTGCCCTGCAGTGGCCCCCAAGTCTGAAGGGAGCCTTGGGGTAAACACAGGCAGTTCAGCTGTCTGAGAAAGTCAGTGATCCAGGAAGAATGAGACCCTCTTGTCACTGATCAGCCAAGTATAGGTACAGGTCCAGCCTTGGGGCCAGAGCAGCTATGGCCACTATAGGTGCTTCCTTAGGGGTGGAGACCTCACCTGAAGAGGAGTGGACAGTCAGGGTCTTGACCTACTGTTCTGCACTGCTCCAAGCGGGAAGAAAAGACCCAGCCAGGAGAAGGCGGCAAGTTCCCGCTGTGAAGCCAGGAGGGAGCAGCCTGTGCCCATCCCCACATCCAGGCTCCACTGGCCTGCACTTCTGTCCCCCGTACAAAGGGTGCAGGGAGCTGTGAGGATCATACACTTCCCCATGCAGGAGAGGGCTTCCCAGGTGTCAAGCATTCAGGAAGTTTAGACAAGTTCCACTTTTCCCTCTACTGAGAGCTGTGCTAATTAATACATCAACTACCCAAAGCTCAGCACATCCCAGGGGCCAGCCTCACAGACATATGGTGCTGACCTTCATATAAGATTTCATGGGCCTGAAACTTTATTATCTGAACAGAAAACTCAGTTCCCTGAGTTCCATGTACTCTTACAACTCCGGCCTTTGTGTATTTGCTTTTCTCTGCTGGACCCCCTTTCCTCTTTCCCCTGAATCTCAGCATCAGTATCAGTTCCTGTCAGAGCCTACCCTGACCTACTGTACCTGAATTGGGTGCTTCCTCTGCCTAGCCACATCTAATCACAGTCTGGACCACACTGCCCTCTGTCCTTCATGTCTCACCATCCCTGGTACTGAAAACAGGCCTAACACTTAACTAGGCTACAGGATGGGCTTTGTGAGGGTCTACTGGCTGGCCAGATTGTCAGATGAATGGATGGGTGATGGATGGATGGATGGATGGATGGATGGATGGATGGATGGATGGATAGGGAGATGGATGGATGGATAGGGGGATGGATGGATGGATGGTTAGATGGGGGATGGATGGATGGATGGTTGGATGGATGGATGGTTAGATGGGGGATGGATGGATGGATGGTTGGATGGATGAGTGGGTGATAAATGAATGACTGGATGGATGGTTAGATGGTTGGAAGGATAGGTGGATAGAGGGATGGATGGTTGGATAGATGGATGGATCAGTGGACAGATGTTCTCTGTCATCAACTCTCACACTGTATCCAGTGCCACAAATACCCATTTTTTTCCTCCTGAATCTTAGGGTCTATCAGCAAATGCCAAAAACCAGGAACTCCTCCCAGGCTGTCTTTAAAACTGTTGGGACCATGTAGCTGACCCCTGAAGGGTAAATTAGGGGTTTCCTGGGCCTTGGCTTTTGAGCCCACTGAATCAGTTCAGTTCATTAAAGGAAATTCAGTCAGCTCAGAGCCCACCCCAAGAGCTGGTAGGTTTGTCTGGAATTTCTGCTAAGCAGCGAGTAATTGATCTGATAGGCCTGGCTGGCTTGGCCACCACATCTAGTAGTCTAGGGAAGTCAGTGTCCTAAAAGGGCCAGTTCTCCCATCACAAGATTTCTGTGGTGAATTCTCTGTAGTCTGTGGTCCTCTGCTTTGGCAGTGGAACCTTGACGGGGTCCATCTGCTAGGAACAGGTCACTCTGGGTTGTGCCCTCAGAACTGACCCAGCTTAAGAAGGCTTCTAGTAAATCTGAACTGCCAGCTCTGCCTGGCTGGGGTCCCTTAGGGTTTCCTAGGAATGTCCACGCCTGTGGAGGGTTGGCAAATATCTGTAGGACTCTTACCACGGGGCCACAGGCTCTGAGCCCACCGTCCTCTGCCTAGCGCTCAGACCAGCCCAGCTCAGGCCAGCTTCTCGCCCTTTCTTGTGTCCTATAATTGAGCAGCGTCTTGGTCTGACTGTCCCATCCCTTGGCTGGCTCTTTAGTTCTCTAACCATGCCAGAAGTGTCGAGGGAAGTAGAGACTCAGACCACGCACTGCTTACCAGTGGAGAAGAGGCTCTCTCCAGCTCGGTCTCCCCAGCTCAGGAATAGCTTTGCACACTGCTGACCTCATCTCGGTGTGGAAAGGTTACAGTGTAGCACAAATACCATTTATTGGAATTTCAGCAGCTATCTCCTCCCTCTGGGGTCAAGCAATTGCTTGGCTGGCATCCTGTGGCTGCAGAGGAGCCACTGTTGCATTTCTTCTTGTTCCCAAGAAGGAAAACCACAGCCACTGCTTCCAAGGGCTGAAGTCCCATCTAGAGGGTGACGGCGGACAGCAGGTGGCAGCCAGAACCCACCGCACCATCTCTACAGGGTGTGACACCAAGGGGTCCCAGGGCCATGCTCACAACTGGTGTCTGGCCCACCCTCGATACCCTCACTGAGCAGAGAACTCCACCCCCAGCGGGCTGCTGTTCCACTCTGCCAGTGCTTCTCACCCTGGCATGAGAGAATGCAAATCCTACCCCCCCCCCGCCCCTACCTGCCCTCTTGGAACCAAAGCCAGTCACCGGTGCTTCCTAGGAAGCCTTCTCCTTGTCTACCACAGTGCATGCCCCGTCTCCCTGAGAGCCCACTGTTCCCACGTGGGCTGCCGTGGGTAACAGTGATACCCAGGCCAGCGTCTGTGACATCATAAGAGGCTGGTTGCTTTGAGGAATGCCCATGGCTGAGCCATTTCTCCGAGAGCCCTGATCCCTTCCCTTCTCGCCAGTGTAAACCCCTTCCCCCCCCCTGCTGCCCCTTTCTGGCGGACACCCGCCTGCGGAGTCAGGGCCCAGTTAGCGCAGGCCAGCTGTGCTGCTTGTTGCTAGTGCTCGGCTGTTTCCTGTCGTGAGGCCTGGGGGCATCTGTCTATGGCAACTGCCCGACTTCTCTTCCTTCTTTCAGAGTCAGGGCTGGGCTAAGAGCTTAGAGAGAGAGCAGGTGGGACCTCTTCCTGTTACCCCAGTTATCCCAGACACTATGCTAGGTATTTCTGCTGCAGTCAGTCTTTTTCACACTCCAGGAGCAAAGGTAAATGCCACATAGGACGATCATGTAGAAGAGGCTCCATGCTCGGAGCTGCTCTTGGAGCACGCCTTGGGCCCCTAGTAGATTCAGAAGCAATATGTCGTAGCCCAAGGGCTTGAGCTGGTGGTTCTCAGGGAAATTGGGCCAGATGTCTGCCAGGGATGAGTTCTGACCTCTTACCAGGAATAGCCCTTTCTTGGTAGACAGCTTCCAGGAGACACTGTATTGCACCAGGAAACTACACCCTAACTTGCCTAGGGCCTGTCTGCAGCACACGGGGCCAGCCATCACCTGAGACCAAGCGTCCCCCACCCCCAGGGACCTGTCCTTCGGTTCTACTCCCTCATCTACCTCCTATCTCTTACAGAGTTTGTCCTCTCCCTTCTGGAGAAGATGCAGACACAAGAGATTCTGAGAATCCTGCGGCTGCCTGAGATGGGTGACTTGGGCCAGTTTTTCCGCAGCCTGTCGGCCACCACCCTTGTGAGCATGGGTGCGCTGGCTGCCATCCTCGCTTACTGGTTCACTCACCGGCCAAAGGCCTTGACCCCACCGTGCAACCTTCTGATGCAGTCAGAAGAAGTGGAGGTGAGTACGGCAGGGAAGTCTGGCTGTCAAAAGGATCGGGCAGAGGACAGACGTCTTGAAGGCAGAAGCCAAACTTGTGGCTTGTCTGACCTCAGGTGTCCCCAAGAACCCTATAGTCCTGGCCCCTGGCAGCCAGCCAGCACACTGCAGCAGCCCAAGCAGGAGCTCCTCCCAGCCGGCCCACTCTGGTCCTTACACAGGGCACCTGGGTTTCCAGCCTCTAGAGTAGCGAGCCTTGGTTCACTGATGCCTCCAAAGCTAAGCAGGTCTTCAGGGGCTCCCACGCAGATCCCCTCCCAACCTGCCCTGGGTTCAGAGCTGGACATACTGTGAGGAGGAAGGTACAGTGCCCTGGCAGTCAGGAGTATTCCAGGCAAAGCCCGGAAGGACTGGCGAGATCTGCTTCTTCATCAAGCATGTGGAATTTTATTTGGCCTTTCTAAAATTCTCTTCATTTTTAATAGATTACATATTCATGTGGCTGGTAAAAAGCTAAAGGTGTGCACCAAAAAACTTTCACATTCTTCCCTGGGGTCCTGGTTTTCCCCTGAGACAACCTGTCCTGACCTCAAGCAAAAACTGTCTGTGGCTCTCCCACAGACAGAGCAAAAACTTTCTGTGCTTTTAAATGATGTCATCATCCGGCCATTGTGCCTCTGAGTGACCATAAACATGGCAATGCTTTGCCTAGTGGGGAAAGCACAGGTTGAGATGGGGGCTGGACCTCCAGGGCGTTTTCCCAGCAGGAGCGGTGTTTGGAGAGGCCCCTGTGTGTGCCGCGTGCTGCAGCACCAGTACTTTGGGAAAGGGTGACTTGTAGAGGGGCTGGGCAGGGCTAGCAGAGTGGTGAGGGGACAGCCTGTGGTGAGCAGCAGTCCTTGGCTTGCAGCCGGGTGTGCCTCTAGGAGCTGTGTGTTTCTTGCTAGAATCTTAACTCTCTGAGTCTCGGTGTCCTGTCTGGCACTGCAGTAGAAAAATAGGGCACCTGATCAGGCGCAATGGTGCAAGCTGGAATCACAGCTACTTGAGAGACTGAGGCAGGAGGATCACAAATTGCAGGCCAACCTGGGTGACTTATCATGACCCTGTCTCAAAATGTAAAAACAGCAGCAGCAGCAGCGACAACACAAGGGCTGAGGATGTAGTGTAGTGTGGAGGCCCAGTACAAACAGAGATTTCCCAGGTGGTCAGAGTCTGGTGAGATGGCGCACGTAAATCACTAGGCATCGTTGTTTTTAGTTACACTTACAATTATGACTCCTCTGGAGAGGAAGGGACTCTTCTGATGGGCAGCACGGATTCACTGGGGTCTTTCAGCGACTGAGGAGGCTGATTTTGCAATGAAAGGGCAGCCACGTTTGGGAGGCACGAGGAAGGAACCGTGGACATCTGGGCAGAGGTGACATGGTCTGAATGGGGTCAGGGTGGTAAGGCAGGGGCTCTGGCTCAGTGCAGGGGAGGCCACCACATGGCTGTGACTGAGAGGACAGGAGCTAAGGTGTCCCTTCCTGGCCTGGGGCCCCAGGAGCACAGAGTCAGGGTGGCTGCGACCAGGAAAGGAGAGAGCTGCTGGCAGTGAGGTGAAAGAGGCAGGTGGATCGCATGGGCCTGGCATCGCTTTCTCTGTGCATGTGGTGAGAGACTGTTCAGATCACGCCACTTCTCCTCGCTTACTTCCCTACCCTGGCTGCCCAGTGGCCTCAGCCCAAAGTCCAGACGCCTCGCCTTCAGCTGCAGCTCTCCTGGCTTGTTCTTCCGCCATGTCTATGAGCTGCTTGCGGTTCCCAAGTGCGCCTGCGCTGCTCCGCGTGCGGAGACTGCCATGCCCCACTTCCCGTTCTGCCTGCAAAACCCTAGGCACCCTGCAGAACCCAGCCTTGTGCCCACCCCATCCCACCCCACTGCACCTCCCATCCCCCATCCCCATCAACACACAGGCCTGCTTGACGGTCTCCTCTTTGGGCACGCTGTGTCACATCCACGTCGTACCTGTGACTCTGGCACGAACCAGTCTGATTGTGTGTGTCCCAGCTTCCCGCACATCTTTTTAGGCCTGGTGCTCAGAAGCACTTGCCAGGCAGAACTCTGGACCTCTCAACAGTCGTTTTGAGTAGCTGTTTGCTCTATGAAGCTCAGAGTTTTTCCTCAGAGCTGATGTCCCAAGCAGTGGGAGGCTCTGGTCCACACTATAGCAGCCCAAATAATGCTCAGAGAACAGGCAAGCTGTGGCCCAGGGGAACCCTGGTTCTGGAGATGCTGGGAGGAGTGGCAGGGAGGAGGGGGAGGAGGTGATAAAGGCTCCTAGTTTTCCTCCCTGCCCTTGCACAGAAGGAACATGCCCCTTCCCACCCTAGATCTTCCCCAGTAGGGGCCCAGGAGCTCTTTGCCCTGCCTGCTCACATTGGGTGTTAACATAACTCAGCCTGCACGCCTAGGCTTTTCCTGGGAGACTGTCTTCCACGCAGTCCTCACCTGACCCATGCTATCCTGTGAATGGGGAGACGCTGCCTTCTTGGCTAAAGACTACACCCAAGTGATTTTCAACGGAGGGGCATAGCAGCCAATCATGGGGTGGAGAACAGCTTGGCATGTCCATTCTGATGCAACCATGTGGCTATAGGTGAAGAATTACTGAAAATTCTGGACAGGTTGTATATGCTGACCAAGTGCTTGAATATGGTACATGTTGGGGGAGTGTGCAAGACACTGGGGTACTGGGCCTGTGTTGGGCAATTAGATTTTAATGTGGATGTGTACAGGTCAAGCACGTGTGGTCCAAGTGTGCACAGCACCACCCAGCCTCATGTGTGTGGACCAGGTATGCAGCTCTGTACACACCAGGCTCCCACTCTGGCTTTTCTGCCTGCCTCAGTCTGTTTGTCCGGCCTGTGCTTGCTTTTAGGACGGTGGTGGGGCCCGGCGATCTGTGATTGGAGGTGGCCCTCAGCTACTCACCCACTACTACGATGATGCCCGGACCATGTACCAAGTGTTCCGCCGGGGCCTTAGCATCTCAGGTGAGGGAGCTGTGGGCGTGAAGACAGCTGTGGCAGGTGCTGGATGGGTGCAGGGGTGGGTAAGCAAGCATGTGCCAGGGACATGGCAGAGGAGCCGCCGGTTTAGCAAAGGGAACCCACTTCTGACCTTCCTTCTGCCACTCAGGGAAGCAGCAGCATTATGTGGCGAAGGGTGACTCAACTTTCTTTCAGCCCCCTGGGCTGCATAACTTCAGACCTTATACTCTGTGCATCCCGTGGTGACCCCTGAACCGTGCCTCTAAGATGTCCAGGTGGCCCCAGGTTATGAGACAAAAGGAAGTAGTTAGGCGCCCACCACCTTCTCCTAGTGGCTCCGCAGCGTCTGTCTTCTTTCAGCTCTGTGCTGGGAACTGTCACACAAATCACGGTGGGAGGTGCCAGCTCTGTGCTGGGAACTGTCATACAAATCACGGTGGGAGGTGCCATCCTCATGTGCTTTAGGCTCTCCTGGCTTCAGTTGCTAAGACAGGCAGCTAGGAAAAGTCCACTTGATCCATGGGAAATCTCAGTGTGGGGTATCTGTCTGGGTGTCTGATGGGCAGGAGCAGGCCTCAAGCCCTCCCTGGCCTCTTCCTGCCACAAGTCTGCTTGTCTCTCTGCAGGGAATGGTCCCTGTCTTGGCTTTAGGAAGCCCAAGCAACCTTACCAGTGGCTCTCCTACCAGGAGGTAAGTCATAGAGGGCAGGCCTGGCACCATCCACTCATGCAGGAGTGGCTCCAGGGGTGAGGAGGGGCTTCCGGGCACCCTTCTGGGTCTCACAGTGTAAGTTTTTATTTTTCTGGCCTATGTGCCAACCTCTTTTCTGGCAGTAGTTGTGAGGGGCTTTAGCTTGCATGGGTAGGGAGCCAGGAATCCTACCTTGGTATCTCTCTCCGGCCGTAGAGCTCTTGTTTTCCCATTACCTCCCATATCTGTGTGCAGGTGGCCAACAGGGCTGAATTTCTGGGATCGGGGCTGCTTCAGCACAACTGCAAAGCAAGCACAGATCAGTTTATTGGTGTTTTTGCACAGAATCGGCCAGAGGTGAGTATCTTCCCTGCCTGGCTTATAGGGCTGGGCATGTGGAACAGTCCTACTCCTACAGGAGAAAAAGCAGAGACCTTGGAAACACAGCACCAACCCACCCAGGTCTACCTTTCAGGAGTGAACCCCCAGGCCAAGCTCCAGGCATACCACACCCAGTGCCACAAACATGGGGAGGCAAGGCATGGTGAGGAGGGCCGTGCAGATCCTGGGAGTGAGCCTGCGCCTGTTTGGGCATGAAATCCGGAAGTATAGAATTCTATGGAGCAAACATGGTCCACAAGGCTGAGCATGCATCGTCTGTTAGTCTTCTAGGTTCCTTGTCACACACAGAGAGTGGGACATACGGACCCTAGCAGGGATGCTGGTCACCTGATCCTAAGGGGAGAACAGTCTGCTTATCTTTACCCCCGCCTTGACCTTGTGTCTCCGTAGTGGATCATCGCAGAGCTGGCCTGCTACACATATTCCATGGTGGTGGTCCCGCTTTATGACACCCTAGGCCCCGGAGCTATCCGATACATCATCAATACAGGTGAGCCCTGCCACCATCCCTTCCTGCCATCGGTACTGGTCCCTAGCCTCTCGAGGTGATGCTGATCCTAAGTCATTCATGAGAGCCCTTTGCTTTCTACTCTCAGAAAACACTGGGACCTTACGCTTGGGTTCCTGAGCACACTTTCTGAGTCTCAGCTGTCCCCACACAGGCGTCCCCAGAAGCTCTTTGCACAGGGCTAGGATGCCAACCAGAAACCTCTGTAGCAGCCTCTGTAGCAGCCTCCACACACGCTACGGTTCAGTAAGACTTCTGGCAGCTCAACACTATGACTAGGCAGAGAGAAATATCCCAGGCAGACTCGGGGTGAAGGGGGTTGAGTCTGAAGCAAAGAAGAGCTGGGAGTCTGCTGCAGGAGGCCCCCAACTTTCTGCCCTTTATTCCACCCAGCACCCACAGCACATTCCTTCACACTCATCATGGGGTCCCCATGACTGGTCTCACAGTCATCGACACGCAAGCCGTGGCACGCGTAGCCCTTGGTGCCACCACCTGGCACGTGCTAGTCCCAGTCACAGCCTGACTCTCTTTAATGGTCCCCACAGCGGACATTAGCACTGTGATTGTGGACAAGCCTCAGAAGGCCGTGCTGCTGCTGGAGCACGTGGAGCGGAAAGATACCCCAGGGCTCAAGCTGGTCCTCCTCATGGAGCCATTTGAGGAAGCCCTGAAAGAAAGAGGGCGGAAGTGTGGGGTGGTCATTAAGTCCATGCAGGATGTGGAGGTAAGAACCTGCTTCTGGGCTGTTTGCTGGCTGGCCACCCATTCAGATCTGCTGGTTACTGGCCCCTCTCGTGTACCCATGTGGCCACTCTTCTGGTCCTCAAAGGATATGAATGTCACAATAGGGCAGGCTTTGCAAGGGGTGAGGGAGGATGGCCTGTTGCCAGTGCCCATGAATGTCCTCTACAAGAAGGCTCTCTGGCTAGCATGGCTATTGGCACCATCCCCTAGTTTTGGTGGTGATGATGCCAGCCTGGGAAGCGCTCACACCCTCCTGAGTTCCCCCTTTGCAGCTCACCTCTAGACCTGAGCCCAGCAGCCTTGGAACAGCCCTTCCAATGGGAGCCAGATCCCCAGCAGCCAGCAGAACTGACTTGCTTGTGCATGGCCTCCCCAGAGACGCACAGTTGGTGGCAGCTTGTGGCCTGCTAGAGTGATACCAGGCATCCTGGCCTCTTGGGCCTCAGGCCCTTCTTGATGACTACAGTGCTCTACTGGGTGTAGGCCCTGGGCCTTCCTGTTTTCCTCTGCCTCCCTATCTGCTCCTCCCTGTACCTGCCTGTGTACTTACACCCCTTGGTGACATTAGCAGCCACACCTGCACTGACATCCCCCACAGGTCCCCCAGCACTGAAGGCTCATCTGTCTTACACATGTAGACATTTCCAGCCCAATGTGTTGCAAACCTATTGGCATGTGCACTGTACCTGTCCCCTCAGCCTAAGGCATCATCTCTGTAATGTATGGGGTGGGGCGAGGCCAGTGATGGCAAACCTTTAAGAGCTTTCAAAGACACAAACAGGCCACTGGTCTAGGCCTAATCCACATCTTTTCTGTCTCCCAAGAGCCTCAAGATAGATGTGCATCCAAGGAGTGGCCTGGACCTCTGGGCCCTACTTTGCTGAATTTATTTTGATTTTCTTAGAGAATCTTTGAGCACTTAAAAGCAGCATTTTCTTCTTTCAGGACTGTGGCCAAGAGAATCACCGTGCTCCTGTGGTAAGCTAACCTGCCAGCAGGGCTTTTGGACAAGATGGCAGATAGAGCCCTTCTTCCCAGAACCCCTCACTGGGCGCCAGGCTCAGTGGAGAGGCCAGGCAGGCACCTCCAAGTTAATAAGCAACTCCTGCATGCAACTCAGGAATGCCCAGTTGGGTGCCCGGACTTCTATGGGCTGAGGGCCCAGGGAGGGACCTGGAACAGGAGTCAGATGTTTGGGAGGAAGACAAAAGGCCTGGCCGCCCATGGCGCTCTAGTAACTCGTTCTTGGGGAAGTCTTATTTTTATGCCTCTGACCATACTAGACTCTTAAGAGCATGAGATAGACAGAAGCAGCAGCAGAACCAGAAGTTAATCCCTGCACAAAGTGGTTTCTGCTGTCTTTGGACACCTTTGCTTTGTGAAGCTTTTTGTGTGCCATGCCATGTGGTGCTCCCTGGCACTGGGACTCAGGGAGGGCAGCAGCTTCCTGGGCTGGGCCATGGATGCAGAGGTTTAGGGTTTCTAACAAGGCCTCCCTCCCATTCACTGATGCTTTTGTCACCTCTGCTTCCTGGAGCTCCTCACAGGCAGCCCTGTGTGTTCACCACCTCCCAGTGCCAGGCTCCAGCCTTCAAGAGCTGCTGCCTAGTTCATCGGCCACCTGGTCACTTGCTCCCAGGCTTGTTCTCTCCCTGAGTTCCTGCCCTCACTTGCTGTCCCTTCTCAGCTCACACTCAGCTCCTCTGGGGAGCCATTGTATGCACAGATGCTAGGCTCCTCCTGGTGAGTCCACAGCCCCGTGCCCAGTGCCCGAGCTGGGGCCCAATGCAGAGCAGTCCTAGAGAGGCACTAGGCAGCTCAATTCCTGGGCTGCAGCTTTCACTCAAAACTTAACCCCAGACTCTTGGCTGAAAATGAGAAGGGAAGAGGGCGGTGGCCACAGCCAGTAGAAAGGGGAGATCTTTGGTAGAGGCCCGCATGTGGCTCCCGTAGCCCAGCCTCGTCTGGGAGAACTGGGCTAATCCTAGAGTAGATGGAAGCCATGGGACCAGATTGAGGTTGCTGGGACAGATCTGTATCCATGCACTCAGCATCTTTTCCCCATCCTAGGAGCTCACCTGCCCGTGTTTTCACACAGCAGCACACAGGGGCTTGCGCACCTTTTTAGCACACACGCACACCCATGTTGCACACTTGCAACACACGTGGGGCTCATGAGGGAGCCATCCAGGTACTGCGGGCCCTAGCAGCTTGCGCCAGGTCTCCCTAACACATACCTCTCCTCTCCTCACCCCTGCAGCCCCCACAGCCTGATGACCTTTCCATTGTGTGTTTCACGAGCGGCACGACAGGTAAGTAGGGGAATCCAGATCGCAGACCCAGGCACTTGCACCCTTGCCCAGCAGCTGGCAGATGACTTCAGGAGTCTCTCACGCCCTCTGTGACATAGGCTGAGTCTTATCTTGTGCCTGGCACCTCAGTGGCTGCCAGGATCCACCACCAGACAGGACCGAGGTGGCCAGATGCAGGAGTGCACTGGGCAGGGCAGTAGGGGCCTTCACACTTCTCAGGGCCACTGGAGACTTTTCTCATGGAGGTGAGGAGGCTTTATCTCTGCCTCCCAACCCTGTCTGGACCTTGGTCACAGATTGGAGGAGGAGTGTGGGGTTTGGTACCTGACAGCTGGAGTCTGAGTCCAGCTCCACCCCTTGCTGGAAGCACTGACTCACAAGACTGTCAGGGAGAGGACACACGCAGAAACAATATAGTCTGGGCCTGGCGTTGGCAGAGAAGCGCAGGTGTCAGCGTGGGTGGGAGGAGCTGTGCGCACCCTGCACCAAAGGGACCCCACTGGGAAATGGGAGCCATGGGATGGGAGATGTCCTCTTCCGACTCCCTGTCCAGGGCTCTTCCCAGCCCCATTGCTCCTTCCCACCCAATTACTTGGAAAGTCACTTGCTTTGCTCTGTCTGGGATGCAATTTCCAGCCATCATTTTCTTCTGAGGGCCAGCCTGCCCTTATGCCAGCTCTTTCTGCACAGTGGGCAGCACCCTCGTGGCTCCCTTAGGAGCAGCCTCTGACCAACCCCATGAGCCTGCCAAGTCAGTGGATCACGAGAAATGTGGCTTTATCGAGCAGAGGTGGAGTTTTGCCATTAATTCAAGGAGGTTTAAAGGTTTGCTCCATGCTCTTTAACAGGTTCAATGCCCTTTGAAAACAGAAATCAAACAGCCAGAGCCATCCCAGAATTCAAGCCCTTCAGGTTTATGTTGCTTTCACAATAGAGCTTTCCAACATCTTTTTCATGTGAGTTTCACAGCACAAATTTTTGGTGACATAGTTGTGGGGAGCAGGTTTGCCTACTGTGGCCTGGAGCTTTGGAGCTCTGTTTTCCAAGAGTGCCTTTGGTGTTTTAATGGGTCACTTGGTCACCGGTGCTACTCTTCTGTCTGGAAAAGAACTTCCAGATGCTGAAACGTGCTGTCACCAGGCTGGGGAGGGCAGGCGTCAGCTGCTTTCCAGACTTCAGGTTTGCAAGGGAAAGCATGGAAAGCAGAGTGTATAGAGCCTGAAAAACAGCTTGCTGTCAAGTGTCCCGAGGCCTTAATCCAGAGCTGCATCTGGCCAGCTCAGAGCTGGGGCAGCGAGCAGACCTCTGACCCGGCGTCACCCTGCCTGGCCATACATGTGGGTTTCCTTGGATTTAGGCTGAGTCTTTGCTGTGTAGCTCATATTCGTCTTCTTGTCAGCACATTAGCCATGTGTGTCCTCAGTGTCACAGCCCAGCCGCAGCCCCCTTCCATGCCAACCACTCAGGTCCTTAGCCACATCAAGGCTTGCATTGTTCTTTCCATGGGGAAAGATGGCAAATATGATCTGAATCTGACATTTGGCCCTGAGTTCTGAGGAACCATTCTGGGAAGAGTTCTATCTAGCATGTGATGGAAACCTCAGTAGAAGCCTCATAAAGTACAGCAGGGCTTTGGAGCCTCTGCTCAGGCCAGGGAGGCCCAGGAGGAGGTGAGAGATTGTGCTTCATACCCATTGATGGCTGAGGGGTGGATACATGGTGGTTTGTTCTTTTAAAAATAACTATTCTTACAACTCTTCCCCTTTCAAAAAATAGACTTATGGGCATAACAGCCCATTTTGGGAAACTGAGTCCCTTGCAAGTTAAGATATTGTAATCTCAGTTCATATACATTATCTTTCCAGAGAGGAAAAAAAAATCAATGATATCATAAGACACATTCTTCCCATTCTTTTATGTGTGTGTGTGTGTATATATATATATTCGTTCATTGTACTTTTTTTTTTTTCACCCACTGTGCATCAGACCTGCCATGGGGGCTGAGGACATAGGGCTGGATGGGACCTAGTCCTGCCCTCACAGCCCATTCCATCAGGCAGCTACAATCTGGGGTCACATCCCAAGTTGCTCAGGGTGCCCAGGCACGGAGACATCAGAGCAACAGGACGCAAAGGATTCCCACAGAAAGCCAACTAACTAGGAGAGGAGGGGAAAGGATGTTCCAGCAGGGGGCGCAGTGTGCGCAGGGGAGCAGAGAAATACTGCTTTGGGATAAGACTGAGCAGAGCTGGGAGTGCTTCAGGCAGGGAGTGAGGGTGCAGGGGTTCCAGAAGGAGGCAGAGTGGCCAGAGGGGCCGGAGAATCGAGTCTGTCAGCACTGTCTGTGGCTAAGTTGTCCCTGGAGGATGATGTCCCAAAAATACCTCTTGATGCTTCTGGTGTCTCTCAAAACTCCTGTGGTGCAGCTTTGGAATTACCTGACCTCTCTTAAGCCTTGACTTCTTGGCTATTGAATGAATACTGTACATTTAATGCAAAGATGGTCCGTGTAGCTTGGAAGGTGAACAGTGGACACCAGGTCCTACACTGCTGAGATGCTGGATGGCAACAGCTCTCACTGACCTTGCTTAAGGGAAAGAGAGGACCAAAGTACAGGCCAAAGTTTGAGTCTGGAAACTTGATCACACTTAGGTCTATCTAGGGAGGCTTATGCCATTCTCCATGTGAGGCCCTTGGAAACCTTTCTATATCACATGCAAAAGAAATGTGGCCAGAGGTTTATATTTGTTGCAACTCAGAGAAGGAAAAAGAGTTCTGAAGCTCGTCTCACACTTCCAGCTGGACCTTGAAGTCTGCTCCCAGGATTTATCATCAGCACTCACTTCTGCTTCACCCTTTGGGACTAGTGAGATGCCTTTAGAAGATAGTTGAGCCCTTTTGGAAACATTTTAGATTCTATAGATCAGGAGAAATTTATAAAATTACATTCATATCTGAAAGATGACATTTGTTTCCCAACTTACTGTGTTGGAGGAGCAAAGGGCAGGACTGAGAAACTTCTAAGTGTGTGAGTCTGGGCTGGGCAGGAGTATTGGAGATTTTTCAGCAGTGAAGAGAAAACTCTGTTGAGATTCTCAGAAACTTCTGTCCTGAGATTCTGTTAGGCTCGCAGCAAGCCAATTTCTCAGAGATAAATTTCTGTCAGGTGGGATTCTGTACCTAGCATTTTTGAGAATGTTCTTAGCAACTTCCCGAAGCTCAGAATTCACTGGCAGAAGTTACCAGGTGGTAAAATCCTTTGTGGGTAGTAGCACTCTAGGAATTTTATCTAAGCGACAACTGAGAAACGTCTTCACCTGGGCCTAGGTGTGAAGAAGAGGGTAGGAAAGAAGGTAAGTGGAGATAAAACAGACCTGGTGGCTCTTTTTCCTCCCCCAAAGGAAGGTATTGTAACAACTCTCTTTTAGAATCATGTAACCTCCTGCATCCTTGCAGTCACCTCGGTGGTTGACAAAGTGGGCAAAAGCCCTAGAGCCCAGGTTAAGGTCCAGCCCCGCACATCTCAGGCAGAGAGAGGAGTGTGTGTCTTGAATTTAAAGATGCTCCTGTGTCTGCCAAATGGGTCAAGTTGAGCAAGTAGGTCTCCTGGGATATAATTAGGAGAGCAACTTTATTTTTATCTGCATCCGTCCCTCTAAACTTGCTCAGCGAGGGTGGCTCTTTCTCTGCTTCTGGGTGAAAACATAGGCATCGCCTACCTTTTTCTGGTCGCCCTCAAGTAATGAAAAGTCCCATGGCCTTGGAAGTCATGAACAGAATCTTTCTTTGTCATCTTCGTAGTCACAAATACCCATCCACATTAGGAGCTGGTGTGTGTCCTTGAGGCTCCTCCACAGCAAAGGCGTGCCAGGAGGACACGTCCCCTGTTCCTCGTTTCCTTTCTGCTGGCTCTCTGTGTCCCCACCTCACCAGCGAGGCTTCTGCCTTCTCCCAGCAGCTGTGAGTTGGGCATGGGAATAAGTGAGTGGGCGATGAAGTGGGGCAGATGTCCTAAACCTGCCCGCCCTTTGATGGGTGCTTTCCTGAGTTGTTCTGACGCCGGCAGGGCCCTACTGTGGGCCCTCTGTGCATCCTTGAATGCCTCCCTGTTTTTGTGTTTTGGAGGGAGGTGTCCTTTGGCCGTGTGGGCACCATCACCACTACTGCGCCCCGAACTGATGCTGCTCCTGCAGACACCACAGCCAGGCCTTGGGGTCAATCGGTGGCAGTGGCAGTGGTGGTGGGTTTTTCCACCAGCTTCTCCAGCTGTCTCACTGGGTTCTCAGGCCCAAGGAACGCACTCAGTCTTCTCAAGTGGCCCTGTTAGGCTCTGAGTTAGTGGGCTGCAGGTTGGACTGGGAGAAAGGACTCTTCCTTCCCCTCCTTTCGATGGGCTTAGGCATCGGCCAGCTCTCTCCGCAGAGCCTCCTCACTTACTCTTGCTCCTCTCCCCCTTTTCTCTTCCTTCCCTCCCCCTTTCTCACTCTCTTTTTGTGTCTCTCTGTCTTTCTCTGAGGAAAAATTCATGTAACATAAAACTAACCATTTTAAACTGAGTATTTATTTTTATTTATCTTTAGTTTTTGGACACAAGGCCTCCCTGCATAGTTCAGGCTGACCTTGAACTCACTGTGTAGCCCTGGCTGGCCTCACACTCGCAATGATCTTCCTGCCTCAGCCTCCCGAGTTCTGGGATTTACAGGCATCTGCCACCACACATGTCTAGACTGAGTATTATACAACATTATCTTTTATTTATTTACTTTTATGTTTTTGGTACCAGGAATACAACGTTATCATAGTCCTTACTCAGCCCTTTTGTGCTTTCCTCTGGGTGAGGGTTGCAAAGTGAACATACTGGGTTATTTGATATTCCCTGATGAATTCTTCATGTGGTCTTGCCTTTGGAGTTTTGCTGCAGTTGGACCTGCCGCCTCAGGGGAAATGTCTAGTTGAACAGCTTGTATACATGGATTACATGCCAGCCTAGAGCAGTTCTCTGAGATGGGCATTGTCAGCCCTGTTCTATAGGCAAGGAAACTCGGAAAGAGACATGGCTGACCGATGCCCTCCTGGCTGGGGTTTGAGCCCTGTGGTATCTGTCCAGCAGCAACACCAAGGCTGTAGGCCCAGACATGAAGTGGTGGCAGTGGTGGCCTCTCTTTCCAGCCTGCTGTGCCCCGGGCACGACCTGTCCCTATCCTCAGAGTCATCCTAGCCCTGCCTCGGGCCTCTGGCTCCCCAAGCACCCAAGCAGGAGGGGCTGCTCCCCCATAAATCTTTCCAGGCACCAGATGTAGCAAAGAAGACTTCTGCCAGCAAACAGTGCTATACAGGCCTAGAGAGCTGCCTTGGGCACCAGGTATTCGTGAGGGGGACAGGAAGCCCAGAACTTGGCCCCTGAGAGAGGCAGAAGCGTGTAAAGTGCCACACGTGGAAATCCCTTCAGGCTTCGAGGCACCCGCCCGGGCAGCTACATCACTTGCTATCCGATGCCAGCTTGCTGGGAATCCTGCATTTTCCGAAGCCCCCTGGCAGGAAGGAGGTCTGACGTACAGCACACACCTGCCTCAGATTCTGAAATTGGCTACAGGCAGAAGCCAGAGGCCTGGGCTGACAGCCTGGCATCTGGGAATGTGTGTTCTCAAGGACTGATCCTTAGGCTCCCAACTAATTCCCTTTTTCTGTTTTCAGGGAACCCCAAAGGTGCGATGCTCACCCATGGGAACGTGGTGGCTGATTTCTCAGGCTTTCTGAAAGTGACAGAGGTGAATAAAGTCAACTTACTATATCAGTGTCTCTGAGGACAACTCTCAAAGCCTCAGAGAGTTTTTAAAAAAATTTTTTTTCTTGATATAATCTGGACTGCCATGCATAGCCAAGAATTTCTATTCTCAATAGATCAATTCCACTTTTACAGCTACTTTTAACTACAAATACTGAAATGATTGATCCCTGACAAACAGTTGATTGATTTCTAAAGAGTGCTAAGATTCCAGGGAAAAAAAGCATGTAAACCGATTTTGTTTCATTTTCAACTTCAAAAGTTGAGATACCTGTGGTTGTGTGTATGTGTACCTTTTTTTAGAAAGTAACCCTTAACTTGTTCTTCAAGGAGGTCAGGGTTTAATTCAGTCATTTTGTGTTTAAGGACTACTAGAGTCTGAGAAACAACGGCAACTGCTAATTTGTAAGGCTGTACTTAAAGGTAAATCTAAAACCAAAAAAAGCTTTTGATAACTTGACCTGACAAAAGCATGTTAGTGTCTTATAACCGGCTAAGACAGGAGGACCTCCCTCCGTGTGGTGAGTATGTTCTGCCGCTTTCCTCAGGAGAAAGCAGTGTACCTTTTCACAGAAACTGGGCTATTTCATGGAAAGGCTCTCTCCACATTCGTGCTAGATGGAATTCTGGAAGCTCTGCCCCAGCACGCTTTCATACTTAGGCAGAAAACTCTGAGAGATGGTTGGTGGCTGAACCCGACTTAGGGACCACAAGCCACTTCCCAGGGTTTGTCCAGACAAGCTGAAGAGGCAGCCGGGAAAGCTAAGGCCTCTGTGACTCAGGCTGACACTGCGGAGTCCTGCAAAGGGCAGCTTCCTCGGGCAGCCCCTTAGCCTGTCCGGAGCAGCCCAGTCCCCAGAGTGAGTCCCCTCTGAGAGGAAGGACTGGGTCACCTCTCCGTTTTCCCCTCAAGGGGATGAGGAGACCAGCTTCCGCCACCTGTTTGCACTTGGCCTTGTTGCCCTCTCTGTCCCAGGCTCCTACCCCAGCTGCAGCTGGCACAGCCCTTGGGAGTCGGGGGGTGGGTCTGGGGCAGATCTTACAGTCTTGGGGGAAGGTTAGAGACCAGGCTGGTGCGACTGACTGCAGGCAAGGTGTAGGCCCTCCCGAGAGGAGACTCTGCGGAGCTGTCTCTGCTGGTTTATGTGTGCTTCATTTGGCTCTTTGCTTCTGCAGATAACCTAGACCCAGTGGCGCCGCGACCTAACACTCCGCTTCCTATGCTGCCCTGTGTCTCTCTCCCTTTCCGCACCTCCTCTCTCCCTCTCTCCCTCCCTCTCGCCCATTTTCCCCCACTCTCCCATCTCACCTCTCTCTGTCCTCATCTCTCTCACGCCCCTTCCCCCTCTCCCTGTCCGCCCCCTCCAGGACCATTTTCTCTTTATTGTTTTATGACTCTCTTGTCGTCTTCCTGTCAGTGTTTCTTTCCTTTCTGTCTCCCATGCCCGTCACCTGCAGAAAGTGATCTTTCCGAGACAGGACGATGTGCTCATCTCCTTCCTGCCTTTGGCTCACATGTTTGAGAGAGTGATCCAGGTAAGACGCCCGCCTGACTGACCGGGGCTTGCCTGGGCTCCTTCTGTTTTCTTGCAGAGTCAGTGGGCTCCCACTTGTGCGGATGTGCACTTTTCCTATTTGCCTTTAGCTCACATGTTTGAGCGAATGGTGCAGGTAAGGCCCTGGCATCAGGGAGGCACCATCGGTGCCTAGAACCCATGACCTAGCAGGGTGTTGCTTGTCACTGGTGGTGTGGACTAGGAACAAAATGCCCTATCCTTAGAAGGTACCATGGGCAGGAGGGCTCCGAGGAGCTGGAACAGTCCTCCTGTCTCTCTCGGAAGCATTGCTCCAGAGAGGACCCTAGGGCCTGCCCTGTCCTGCGCTTGGGCAAATCCTGGCTGAGAGTGACCCCAGCTGGTGGCCCCTAGCCCCAGAGCATTGCACCTCTGCAGAGGTGTGTCACTAGCCAAACTCAGATGTGGCCCCCACACTTCCATTCCGCCATTCTCATAAGTCCCTTAGAAGAGAGAACACAATAAATCAACAACCCAACTGCCACAGCTCTGTGGGCTGCAGATGGGGACAGGTGTCAGAGTGGCCCTGGACAGGCCTCACAGGGCTATGGTGAGAATGAGGAGAGAACCCACATGCAATTGTGGGAAGAGAGAATTCTGCATGTGTCACTCAGGGGAGCTGCTTGCAAATAAACTGACAAAGGTATCTTTGAAGCCTCTCCCTTCTGCCTGAGGGGCACACCTCCCAGTCCTCCAGGCCTGGGTTACAGCACTGTTACTGTCACCTCGCTTTGTGAGCCTGGGCCCAATCACTTTTGCTGGGCTTTGCTTTCCTCACCCGTAAAGGGCGGGTTACCCTGGGGTAGGGTTGCTGCAAATGCTAAATAGAAGAGCACATATAAAGCCCCTGCTGGGTCCCCAGTCCAATGAGGTGCCAGCCAGGCTCCTCTGGCCTCCTACCAAACAGCACCCACCAGAAGTGTAGCAGCAGCTGCAGTGCCCACAGGCATGGCACTTCTTGCCACAGCTGCAGAGATGTCCCTGGACAATTCATGTCCTTGGGGACCTGGAGCAGATCTGATTATAGGGTATAACACAGAGAGACCTGAGTTCTTCAGGGTTTAGGAGTTCGTATGAGGGGGCAGGCACCACGGAGAATGGCTCCTTTGAGATCTCCCCAAAACTCAGCCAGCACTCCTATCCTTCCCCCTGTGTCTTCTCCCTGTGCCTGAGTGGGACTTAGTGTGAAGCCAAAGGTGGGCGTATCACTAAGGTAGCATTCTTCCGGGTCTTGTGGCCACAGCCAGAGCTGGGTCAGGGGTTATGGATGTCCTCCACAGAGGGCAGAACTTTGGGCAGCTCTGAACTGAAGCCAAGAGTGACCACCTTAAGTGCTTCCTCCTTTCCTTCTAGTCCGTCGTCTACTGCCATGGAGGGCGCGTCGGCTTCTTCCAAGGAGACATCCGCCTGCTCTCGGATGACATGAAAGCCCTACGCCCCACCATCTTCCCTGTAGTCCCACGTCTGCTGAACCGGATGTATGACAAGGTGAGCCCTCAGGGAGTCCGTAGCCAGGCTGAGGGGCTGTGTATCTGGGGCATCAGGCAGGCTTGTCACGCTTCATCCTGAAAGTTTCCTCCTCTCTTACATTCCCTTTTCTCACCCTCCTTTCTCCTGTTTTCTTCTTATTTTCCAAACCATGTTTGGGAAAAAATTTTCAGGAACTTCTGTACAATGTGCCCAGACCTTCAGCTTGAGGTCACACTTTTGGTGACTTCCTTAGTGCTACAGAGCATGTGTTCTCCGCTAGCCAGTCGAGGCCTTTGTCCTGGGGGACATTTGGGCTCGGACAGTGTTTTCTGCCTTCTGTTCCTCAGATCTTCAGCCAGGCAGACACAGCACTGAAGCGCTGGCTCCTGGAGTTTGCGGCAAAGCGCAAGCAGGCCGAGGTCCAGAGTGGCATCATTAGGAATAACAGCATCTGGGACGAACTCTTCTTTAATAAAATTCAGGTGGGCAAATTAACAGATGGTTACGTTGTGATATCTGTGGCCAGCAGGTGACCTTCCAGGGGAGCTAGAGCAGTTTGTTCCCGTGGCCTGTAATCTTGTAAATTAATACCTCATTTGTTGTTTAAACCAAAGCTTAAGCTGCCATCAAATCTTGAAGTGGTTACCTTTTTATGTTTGGAGACATGTTCTACTCACCAAAGGTGACCAGCAAGAAGGACCCTGGATTCTGGCATCAGAATAGCTTTGTTCTTGGGGGATCCGGTCTTTTGGTCCACTTTGATGCCCCTGGGCCTGTCCCTGTAGCTTTGGTCTCAGTGGCTTCCCAGCAGCACCAGGTTGGAGCCAAGGAGCCAGGTATCTTCTTTTCCTCTCCTGTTTTCTGTCCCTTCAGCCCCTCCCAAACTAGGCCAAGTCAGAATTACTCATTTCTTCCTCTCCACCAGTGTCTCTGATCTCTGCATTATGCAAGCAATCTGTAGTTAATTGGTAGCATTGCACATTTTCCTTGCTACAGTATTTTTAGCTCTGAAAATTAATATTTAAACCCTTGGCTCAACTTACAGAAGCAAAGTGTTTCAAGTGTTCTTTGTTCCCAGTACTCATAGTAAATACAGCGTGGTATTGATTTACAAATGACAAAAAAAGCAATCCCATTAAAATGGAAGCTGGAAGAAATTGTCCTAAGCAGTTGTTTTGAGTGCTTGTGAATGATGAGTGAGAGGGCAGCTGTATAGTTTAAGGAAAGGAGAACCCGTATGTAGAGAACTGCATGAGCTCATTTTACAGCCTTATCTCAAAAGGCACCAAGGGGTTGGCTATAGTGTGGGTTAAATTGCAGAGCGCGTCAGGTTTAACAGCTGGAAGGGGCAGTGACTTTCTCAGCTCATGGCTCTCTCTGGTCTGAACCCAAGCATCCAGGGAGGGTCCAGTTATGGATGTTGACCTCGTGTGAGGCTGAGGTGGGCCGGACACCATCTCAGTCATCACAAACATTGCAAATTCTCTCCTCTCCCAGGCCAGTCTTGGAGGGCGTGTGCGAATGATCGTTACTGGAGCAGCCCCTGCGTCACCAACGGTCCTGGGGTTCCTCCGTGCAGCACTGGGGTGTCAGGTACTGTCCTGTGACCTTCTCTGGGAATAGTGGGCTGTGTTAGGAAAACTATTATACTCTCCGCTGTCTATAGAAAAATGCCAGAGATGGGATTTTTGTGGGATAAAAGAGCTTGTCTCTAAGGATGAAAAAAGTCCTAGAACCACTGAAAACCAGGATGGCCTTGCTGCCTTCTAGAAATCCTGGGTTAGCCAAGCATGGTACAGTCGTGGCACTCCAGGAGGCTGAGGCAAGGACAGGTTTGGGAGGGAGGGATGAGAAATCAAAACCACCAAGGTGGGATAGGTATATGCACCAATACCCCATAATAAATGTATTTATTATCTATGTCAAACATACTAATTAAAAAGAGAAGAAAAAGAAAAGAGTTTAAGCCCAGTCATACTCAGTGACTCTGAGTCATCGAAAAAGGGCTGGAGATGTAGCTCAACTCAGAGGCCCCGGGTTCTTTCTTATTAGTACACACACCCACACACATACATACACACACCTTCACATACACCCTAGGTGTATGCAATCTGGGAAATTTTTACCTGAACGTTTTTAACAAAGGGGAAAGGGATTAGGTAGCTTGTGTAGAAATCCTCGGTGTGCTGCAGAATCAGTGCCACCCCCATACTGAATCTTGCATTCCCCAGCCTGCAGATACCTTCCAACTCAGAACCAGGATCACATGGGAGAGTGAGAAAGCCCACTGGATTGTTTCAAGTAACAGGAACGAGTCTGTTGCATAATTGTGTATGCTTTAGTTTTCATACTTCAGAAACCATGAGCTTCTCACACTATCCTCCTGCTCTACACAGCCATGGCCTGACCAATTCTAAAGGCAGAGAGTCTCCTGCATGGGGCATTATGCAGACAAGAGGGGGCCTGGAGGGGAGTATATCACAGAGACAAAATGAAGCCTGTAGTAGAGTTTAAACTGCTTATTATTAATGCATATTATCCAAATGAAGAAGAAAACCAGTAGTTGAAAGCAGGTCGGAAATCTTTATCCCAGAGGATGTAACCGTATCTACTAAATGTCCAGGTAAAAATGTTACTTCTGCCCAGTACTTAGGCCATGTTGATGTGCTCAGCTCCACCTGGAGTTACCCCCCGAAGAGTAGCTCCCTCCCACTGTCCTCACCAGGGAGCATCTGGACAGTCACGGGGAGAGTGTTGCCCTCAGCATGGTTTCTGTGTTTTGCTTGAAGGTTTACGAAGGTTATGGCCAAACTGAGTGTACAGCCGGCTGCACGTTCACCACCCCTGGAGACTGGACCTCAGGTAGGGTGCGCTGGAGACGTGGGGATGACTTCAAAGCTAGCGTCAAAACAGCGGACTCCAGAACTCCCTCCCAGAAGATGAATTTTCATGAGCACTTGGGGAAAAAAAAAAGAAACAGAAGAAAAAAACATTAATAGTGCTTCTGTCTGGGTTGTGATCTAATGGCTCTTCTAGTTTTTTATATAAATTTTTGTATTTTTATAGATTTATGAAATATTTGCCTATTTTTATAGACAAAGAGAAATTACACTCCAGGTAGAAAATACTTATAATATGAGCACATCAAATTTTATGGGCTCTAGATAACATCCAACCTTGCTTAAAGTTGTTTTAGAATTATCTTTTAGAATCAAAGAAGCAGATTGAATTGGTTATGACTTGTAGAGGAGGAGCAGGTTCATAGCAACCAAAATGACTTCCTAAGGGGCATTTCAGGGGTTCTTTGGGAACTGAGGTCTCCCGTGATATTGATACCTAGAAAACTGCAGAAAGGACCTGCTCTCCTCCACATGCCTGTTCTCAGGAGGTTCATCCTTCAGGTCAGGGGAAGCCCGTGGACCGCCCATCAGCACAGTTAGACTAGATACAGGGCGAATCTAAAAAACGCTCAGCAAAAGACTCCTTCGGGGGCACCAACATCCTCTGTGAACCTGAGGCCACTCATTGTGCTTAAGTTTGCTCAGCTACAAACTGGAAGATTTGGGCTGATGGGCAGAAAACATGCTCGTAAGTGCAATACTACTTTCAGGAGCCTAAAGATAGTAGAAACACAATACGTGGATGCATATTGACCAATCAGTCTAATGTATCTACTTCCTTTCGGTCCTTTCCTTATTCTTTTTATGTCATCCTCTACATTTTTCTGTGTAAAACTATTTAATTTTTTAAAAGAAGCCAAAGTGTCACAGCCGTATTTTTTCACTTCAGTACATAGCTCACTTTTCTTTCAGGACCTCGGCCAGCACCTGGGTGAAACTTGCCCTTAGCAGTGAATTAGGTGACAATCACAATGACTAGAGGATGACTTAGATACCATATTGTGGTTGGAGTCTCTCAATCTAAGTAGTCTCTAAATCTGTAGTCTTATTTTGGGTGGGCAAGTAACCTTATCTCATTTCTTTGTTACTCAAAGCATAGCAGGTAGAACAGTAGTGTCAGCATCCACATGGTGCCTATCAGAAGTACAAACTCACACCTCTCCCAGACCCACAACTTAGCAAGATGTCTAGGCCATTGCTGGGCACACTCACCGGTACTCTATTGACTACAGGAAATCCAACTGTGTGATCTGACAAGGGGGCAATGTTTTTATGTGGGCACTGTTGTAAAACTGACCGCATGGTGGTCAAGGCGTCTGCCTCACCCAAGGCTCCTGTGCACGCTGGTGCCCAGCCAGGTGTGCATGATTTGCCCATTCACAATCAAGTGTACGCAAAGGCGAGGCAGAGGTTGGCCTTTGTTTTCTCCAGAAATTTGCTTTACCAGCCACCCTTGCCTGGGACAAATGCCTGTCTGGAGTTTGCTGCTGTCCCATCTATAACTCCTGCCTTACTCACCAGGGGTTTTACAGAGTGTGGAGCATCTGCCACGCTGAAATTGGCCTGGCACTGACCAATGCCATCTTTCTCTGGTGTTTAGGGCACGTCGGGGCCCCTCTGCCCTGCAACCATATCAAGCTTGTTGATGTGGAGGAACTAAACTATTGGACGCACAAAGGAGAGGGAGAGGTAAACCTAATGACTCAGCCTTTCATGTCTGCGGATGCTACATGTAGTGAGTAAAAGCAAAGAAACAAAATCACGGGTGTATTTTCCTCTCACCATCCTCTAAGGTCGTTTCAAGTGACTGATTGATTAACTTAACTCTTCCAACACCAAATGCTTGGACTGAATAAGTCTAAATTAAGCTTTTAAGTTTCCAAACTTAAAAAAAAATCCTTGTTTCTCCTGTAGCATGGCCTAGTGTGGTGTCATCCATCCCAATAGAATTGTGTCCACGTGGGGGGCTGTGCTGGCCTCCACTTGCTCCCTCCTCCAGTGTGGGCGGAGAGCTGGCTGTCTGGTAATGCAGCAGAGGAACCAGGCTGCTCTGGTAGGGTCAGCCGACCTCCAATATATGTGATAAGACACCATCAAATGTCATGAAGCACTGTGTGGCCAAGGCCAGAGGCCTCCTGAGGAGGAAGAGATGGCATGGGAAGAAGCTGGGCTGGGGCAGGGAGGGTACTGTTTGGGAGAAGGCAGGAGACACTTGGAAGGTCATCTGCATGGCGGCCTTCCTGATGGGCAGCGCCCCTGGGCGGCAGCTCCCTTCACTGCATTCTTTACACTGTGACTGAAGCTGTGCTTTTCGTTCTCACAGGTATGTGTGAAAGGACCGAATGTGTTCAGAGGCTACTTAAAAGACCAGGAGAGGACAAACGAGGCCCTGGACAGTGACGGCTGGCTTCACACAGGAGACGTCGGGAAGTGGCTGCCGGTATGTATGTTAGGGATCATGTCTGGCAAGCACAAGGTCGCGATTTTGATTCCTAGTACAAAAAAAAAAAAAAAGAAAGAAATACTTTGGAATCGTGGAACTCCAAATATTTTGGCAGTGGGAGCATATGTGATCCAGTTAACTGAGGCAGGAGTCTTCTCCATATCTTACCTGGCACTTACTTGTTCAAGAGCCTCGCTGGGACTCATCAGGAGGTCCATGCTTACCTGGCCCCTAGAGCAGCCTCCTCTCTCTCCTGATGAAGGTGATGAGAAACCGAGTGTTGCTGTTCTGTTGCTGTGGCTGAATACCTGAAAACTTTAACTTCCAAGAGAAGGGATTATTTTGGCTCCCAGTCTCAGAGGCTTCAGTCCATGGTCAGTTGGCCCTGCTGTTTCTGGACTTGTGGAGGAGCCAGACCCTCCAGGCGGAGGGTGTGGTAGAGGGAAGCTGTTCACCTCATGAGCCTGTGCTGGCAGGTTCCTCCTCCTCTTGTTTTCTGTTCCATCCAGAAACTCAGCTCATTGCTGGTACTTCTCCCACTTAGGGTGGGTCTCTCCCACATCCCAAGCATCTCTGAAAACATCAGAAGATCCTTTACTAATGAGCTTCCTAGGCATTTCTCAGTCCAGTCAAGTTGACAAGATTAACTGTCATAGCTTGGGGCATTGAAATCAACCCCCTTTTCTTAATGGTTTCCAGAAAGAGCTGTGGTGCTATGTAGAGTCTAACAGTGAAGTGGAAGGAGGAGTCTGTCTCTGGGAGACGGGGGAAGGGCATGCATGCTGGCGCCAGCCAAGAGATGGCCTTGAGCAGGGGGAAGGCTTGGAACTGGGTGGAAGGGTGGCTCGGCCCATTTGTTATGCCAGAAATTTCGCTCACAATGCTGAACAAAGCCGGTCCTCTCCTGGCCTTCACACTGATGCACTTGTGGGATAATAGAACAAACTGTCATAGCATTTGGCTATGGCCCCCAATTTTGGCTCAAATCAGTCAGCCTCATTCTCTCACTTTTAAAACAGCACTTTTACCTCTGCAGTTATTTTTAGGAGAAACAAATAAGCTTATACCTGTAAAGCACTTAGTGCAGATATATAAGAGATACTCAGATGAATGCTTTGGTCAGAAAATGAGCTTTTGGCTGGTGCAGCCCAACCAAGGAGTCTCTCCTGTGTCTCAGGGAAGTTGCTCCGGTTCCGTTTGGACATTTAGAGGCATTTATTAGGTTTATCAGGGACAAGATGATGTTGAGCCCCCATAATAGGGCCCTATGAGCTGGCAGGCCAGTTTGGTCCTGCTTGGATCTGTGTTCTTCCTTGAGAATCTTCATGGCTGTGGCAGACAAGGATATGCACCTGAGCTAATGATTCTGCTCAGGGAAGACACACTTCGAGCCCTCTGATTTCTCCAGCCTCCTTTCTCTACACAGTAGACGCACAGTCAGAACTGTTCACCTCATACTCCTAGTATCTCCACTTAGCATGCGCTAGTACCTGGCCTGATCATCTTTCCCACTCTCTCTTTTCCTTAGAGCATGACTCATCCTGATATTTGGGTCCAGTAGGTGCCCGTCTGCCTCTGCCTCTCCCCAGATAAGGGTGGCTCCTGCTTCTCGTGATCAACCTGGGCTAGGAACTGCCAAAGGGTCCTAAAGACTTACAAAAGGCAGATTGTCCTATCAGTAAGGACGCTTATCCTCCAGGCACCCTCATTTGCATCAGCCCGTTTTCAGGGCTTCCATTTCATTTTATATTATTTTTTCTCATAAAAGGCCTTCAATTATAAAAGCTCACAAAACTCTAGATCTGCCAGGCACAATAGGAGTTACTTAAGGAGACTGAGGCAGGAGGATCTCAAGTTTGAGGCCAGCCTGGGCAACTTAGACCTTCTCTCAAAAGAAAATTTTAAAAAGGGCAAGGAACATCAAATTCAAGCCCAGTCTGGGCAACTTGGCAAGACTCTGTCTCAAAACAAAGAATACAAAAGGGCTAGGGATGCATCAGGTTTTTGTTTTGTTCTATGTTTGGTATAAGTTCACGTTACTGTTTCTCTACTAAGAAGTATTTTATAAATGCAGTTGGTTATTGTAGCACTTTTTACAATGAAACTATATTTGAACAGTTACAAACTGTACGTACTGCATGAAGCTTGTTCTCTGAAAGGATTTCTTATTTCAGTATGGAATTTCACATTTGGCAATATCCTACAAATAAAGGTTAAATTCCACCCTTAAAAAAAGCCCAGAGCCCAATCCCTAGGGCAGCATGAAGAAAAAAGAGCTGGAGGTGTAGCTGCTGATGGCCTGAGCTTGGATAAACTGCCCATCACGAGGGGGTGGTGTGAAACGGGAAGTCACTCAGGTGGAGGCCGTGATGTTGGCAGGAACACAAGCCTAGGACCAGGGAGAAGGCCTGTGAGGTGAGCTTTTGAAGTTAGTATTTTTAAACATTAGATTTCAGTTAAAATCATTGTAACTATTGAAATAAATACTACTTCACACTTTCTAAATTCCTTACGTAAGGTAAAGCACGCATTCCTGGCCTGAGTTCTACCTTTTTTGTATTATTTTCCTAAAAATTGCATTCAGTTTTTCCATGTATACTCACAAATGAGATTGAAACTATGCTTTTCCTTTTATATACTACTCTGTTATGGTTTTGGTGTCAACTCACTGAATGAGTGGGCTCCCCCCTCCGAAAAAGTAGTATTACATCTGTAATCTCAGCTCTCTGAAAGGCTGAGGCACGAAAACCTCACTTGCATGGTTCAGTGACTTAGTAAAACCCTAAAATAAGGAGCTCAAAATAAGAAATAAAAAATAAAGGAGGACTGGAAATACAGCTCAATGCAAAGGCCTGATGTTTAGTCTCCAGTAACACACACACACACACACTCACACACACACACATTTGAATAATTCATTCGTGCAATTCAGGTAGAAATCATCAATAAAGACATTTGTGGTTTTAAAAATTACTATTATTTTATAATATATAAAAGAAACCCCCCAACCTACTTGATGTCTGATATGAGTTGTGTTCTCTAAAGATGAAGAATGAATTTTAGGAACAACAGAGGTCAAGAGCAGAATATATTTATTGAGAGAAAGAAAACTTCTGTCTGGGAGAGACAGAAGGGATCTCGAGTGGGTTGCCAAAGTCTCTGTCTTCTCCAGGGACTTTTATAGAGCAAACCCACAAAGTAAGGCAGGTCTAAGGTGGGGAAAACATAGGAACTCACAAAGTGGGCATGAGGTGGGACAGAACTATGGTCAACCAATAAAATTAATTGCTCAGCTGGGGCCAACAGCATAAGTGCCTGCCTGGCAAGCATGGGATCGTGAGTTCTATCTCCGCTACCAAAAAAATAAGATTAATTGTTCAGGTAAAATTAATTAAATCAGGGACAAATGGGAAAGTGAGTCATGTAACAGGCAGGCATGCTTCGGGAGCAGTGACTCCTGTTATTCCTGGAGGGGACTGGGATGGTGACTCCTGGCCCCTTCAGGGTGATAGAGACGGGTTAGCATACCAGTCCTTAGGATGTGGGTGCATTTGTTTGATCTTTTGCTTAAGACTGGCCCGCAGCTGAGGTGTCTGTCTCCCCACAGTTGCAAGGTACCTGGCCTTCTGCACTGACTCCTGTGAAGGCCCAGCCCAGTCTGACTCCCTCTATTATTTCTATCTAATTCAGCTGCTTCCTCTGGTCAGTGGGCTCAGTGGACACCCATGGACCCCTTCTTGTCCATACAAGATACATTGGTGAAAAAGCACAGCCTTTTAATCCAGAAAGACCTGGACTTTCAAGTCCTCATTTCCCTGCTTCCTTGCTGTGAGGCCTTGGAGGAGTTAGCCAGCTCCTCCAACCTCATTTTCCTCATCTTTGAGGTGACGACACCTCGCTCGTGGGGTGCAGTGAGAACAAGGCAATGAGCACCAGGAAGGAGCCTGAGTCAGCCCTGGGTTTTGAGCAAAGCAGGACCTGCGTATTGTTCCCTTCTGGAGGGATTGCAGAGGCTGGGGGAACACTGGGAGGGGACAGGGTGTGGGCAGAAGTCTGGTCAGGATGTGGTTTGGCTGGGGAAGGAGGTGGACGAGAGAGGGGTCCATGAGTGATGACTGAGCCCGCTGACCAGGAGGCAGCAGTAAGGGGGCGTCCATGTCTGTACGCCCAAGGGCATCGTGGGCTGGAGGGCATGGTGAATGTTATGTAGAGTACATTGCCTGAGGAATAGCAGCCTGGTTTGGGGGAACATGCTGGGTGCGGGAGCAAGGATCTGGAGACAGAGAACTTAACAGATGTGGGGGCAGAGGTAACTGGTGATTCCCACATAGTACATGATCAGTGGAGGTAAGAAATACAACATTCAAGGTTTGAGCCAAAGGCACAGGCCCCATCTAATCACCTCAGAGCTTGAAAGGTTTCCAGGTGAGCAGGGGTCCTCGCTGGCTGAGGGGATGTTCACCTGCCTGCTTAGAGATCCCACAGAGATCTCGGAAGGGCCAGGGCTCCTCTGGTTGTCACGTGTCTCTGGGGGCCTTGCTGGTTCCGTGCCATATGCCAGAGAGAGAGAGGCTGCTTTCTCATGGTGGGGGGCCAGGGGCAGGGGCAGGAGACCCAAATGAGACTTAAGGGGAGAAGCATGCAAATGCTGGCTATCCAGAGTGAGGGCCCAGGGGAAGGGACACCTTGACATCTGTTGCCAGGAGCTAGGGTGGAAGAGCTGGTGGGGAGCTGCATGGAGTACTGACTGCTGAGAGGAGAGGTCAGGGCCCAGCAGAGCTTGGATGTCACCGCCTCACAGTGCTTGGCAGCTTTCTCCATGAGCACAGACAGCAGACAGAGGAACAGCTGCTGTGTCTTGGGGTGGACAAGAGCAGGGCCTAGAGACTGCTCCCTGAGAACTGAGGGGTTCGGGCTTGGGAGTGCCATTTTCTTAGGAAGTTGTTTGTATAACTCCACAGGAAGGAACTCTTAAAATCATTGATCGCAAAAAGCACATATTTAAACTTGCTCAGGGAGAATATGTTGCACCTGAAAAGATTGAGAACATCTACATCCGGAGTGAGCCTGTGGCACAAATCTATGTCCATGGGGACAGCTTAAAGGTGAGTCTTCCTGCACACACTTGCCCTCCTGGGGAGGCCAGATTTGAACACTCATCTCCAACTGGTCACTGGGATTTGGCTGAGCATTTTAAATTGGGAGAGAAAATTCCTTTCTATGGGAGAAGTCTTCTTTGTTTCATTTTGTTTTGTTTTCTAAGGAGAAGTCTTAATTATAGGTATTTTGGTAAATTGCAGTTAGAGGAAATAAGTTGCTTAAAATAGTAATGAGAATTGTTCTCATCTTTAAATTATGCTCCATTTACTTTCAAAATGCCAAAATAAGATGCTAAAGCACAATTCAGAATTTCTACCTTTTTTTTAAATGTGGAAATAAACTATATAGATAAATTGATGTAGTATTATAATTGATATTGTGATGATGATACAGCTTATTAGGGTTAGATGCATGAGATGTAAACATAGTTTGCTCTCAAATTGAAGTCAGAAAGATCACAAATATATTCTACATCAAAGACATCAGATAAACTCCATGCTACCATTGCATTTATATAATTAAATATGAAATTATTTTTGAAAAAAGTGCTTTAATTCAAAAAGTTCTTCATGAATGATGATTTATTGATGTGACAGTTTCAAAATGGTGTAGAAATCCCGGGAACCATGTTCGGTTGATAGAATTTGTATTATTTGATTAGCATCCTAAAGATATGCAGATTTAAGATTGGCATAAGAGTTAAAGGAACATATCAATCTAATTTTACTGATGCTTGAGATGTCCTTAGATGTGGTCTCCAAAAGATGTATCAGAAAATGAATAGTCAAGAAAGTATGAAACGTTGGTGGAAATGTTTCATGATATTATGAACAAATGTTTTATAAGCATACACTTATTTTTAGAAGAGCCTGGAATCTAAGCATACCAAGGGATTATTTTCAACGCTAGACCACAAGCAACCACTTTTCAAGCTTCTGTCATGACTGTTTGCCTTTGGTGTTACTGCAGGCCTATTTGGTGGGCATCGTAGTGCCTGACCCTGAAGTCATGCCCTCCTGGGCCCAGAAGAGAGGAATTGAAGGAACTTATGCAGAGCTCTGTGCAAATAAGGTCAGTATTTTGGGACTGTTTGCTAAGAGGTTGTTAAACATGCTGTGATACCGCATAACAAAGGGGCAGAAAAGCTGTCAGAGCAGTGAAACTTGAACACGTAGGGAATTTTTGATGGTACTTTATACACAATGGAAATCCTAAGCCAGAAATGTCTTTTAGTTATTGTTGAAGAAATTCATAATTCTTCTTAGCAATTTGACAAACTTGAATTTTGGAGCCAAAAGGCTTCATGGAGACTTTACCCAGCCCTGTTGCCTTACAGCTGGAGGAGGATGGTCCAGGGGAAGGAGCTGCCCACAGTCATAGAGGTGTAGCTGTGAGCCCGGGCTTCCTGACTTCCTGCTCCGGCTTTCCCCAATGGGAGGCAGACTGTGTCTGCAGTGTACTGACTTCCCAGAGATAGGAGGGGAGCTGAAACAGTGATAGCTCCTCCTGCTCAGAGCCGTGGCCATGCTCATCCTCCTGCAACTTCCCGGGACCTGTGCTGGAGGAGCAGGCTGCCCTCTGACCCAGCAGCAGCCTGCCAGTCTCAGGGGCTGTGGACCCCGCCTCTCCCACAGGATGCTGGGTTCCTCTGGGAGGGGCTGAACTCACCAGGCTACTGGCGAGGGTCTGTCAACCTGCTCAAGGCTGCTACTCTGACCCAGAGGAGCCCTCCTCTGTCCGAAAAGGTGGCGAATGTGGTCACCAGGAACCCCCAGTCCCACTATGCTAGGGTATGCGGGATCCCACTTCTGCACAATTACCATTGATTTGCACTTTATTCAAAATGGTTTTCTACTACCTCCACTTTGAAATGTGTTCTTGCTAATTTTGCTTCTCTAATTTTGCTTCTCTGGTTCCATTCAGGACTTGAAGAAAGCCATTTTAGAAGATTTGGTGAGGTTAGGAAAAGAAAGCGGACTTCATTCTTTTGAGCAGGTAACTGCTGTCTTCCTTGTGCCCATTACAGCTCTTTAGTTAGGATGACATGGTGACACTGACCTAGATTCCTTACCCTCCGTGGTACCGTGGACCCCGAAGGCCTGTTTCAGACTGACTGCCAGAGCCGCCTTCTGAATTAAAATAGGTCTGGAAGAGTGAGTGGTTTGTTGCCCTTATCATCACAGAAGTTCACAAGGCTGAAGTGTTAGCCTCCTTGTCACCATGAGGACACGTAGATCTGGTCTGTCTCCCAAGATGCCTACAACACTGAAGACCAGAGTCCTGTCTGACTTTCAGTTTTATGGGGGCTGTTTGGGGCAGGCTTGCTTCCTAGGATATCAGAAAGGTTGGACTCCGCCTTCAGGCCGGTGGCGTTCTGTGAGAGATGGAGCAAAGCAAGGGAGAGGGCAAGCCGTCCTCCAACACAGCTCGTCTTTACGAGGTTGGGGCTCTTAACTGCAACCAGATGTGTAAGCGTGCTTGGTCCTACTTAGATACACACTCCCTCTTTATGCAAGAAGTCAGAGAAAACAATCCCCAAGCAGAAAAATAGTAACGTGCCAATTTAAAATTTTTTGTCTTTAAAGCATTTGTTTTTCATAAAATGAACACTTCTTAAGATTCATTTTTCATAAAATTTTGTATGAGGGAGTCTACAAGGTCCGTGAAAATGTAAAACCTTTCTGAGTTCATTTGATGATGATCTAAGAATATTTAAAAACTGGTTTCAAGCGTGAAATTCTTGTGCTTTTTAAAATTTGCAATTTAAGACTGTTTACCCAAGTTGCAGTTTTAATTTCTTTACTTCCAACCGAGGAAATGGAAAGTTTCAGGATCTAAGCATATTGTTTTTCTTTGGCAATAGATATTTACCTGAACCTGGTTTGAGAAATACTGCTTAACTGTCATCTGAAAGTATGCTTTAGAACAGTGACAATCTGGGTAAATAAGTCTTTAAAACGTTCTGAAATCTAAGGCATTCAGACAAGTTACATGTGTCTTTGGGAAGGAAAGGTCAATTTGGGCATAATAGTCACTCAGATGTACAAATTTCCTAGAAGAAATTTCATGGGGAGTCATGGGACTGGGTCAGACATGGCATGTGGTCTAGGGCAACGGCTGAGTGGTCCCAGAGGGCTGGTCAGGGACTCTGTGGCCCGCTGAAGGGCAGGCTAGAGTCCAGCGCATTCCTAAAGCCTCTGCACCCTCTGCTGGTAAGAGGTGGTGTGACCTGAGGTGTCATCCAGTCCAGATTCCTCTTCAGATTAACGGAAACCTTTGAGTAGGTTTGTAGTATTAACCATTAGTTTTGTTCCAGCTTTACTGAGAGGGAATGTATTCTTGAGTTTCCACATGCTCTCATCAGAGTCTGTGCTCTATTCATCTGCTCTCACCATAACCTCAAATGTTGGGGAGTCCTAGCACGACAGAGGCCTTTAGTTTTATCGCCCCAGGTGCCACCTCTTTATTTCCTGGGTCTGCATTCCCCTCTGTTGTTCCGAGGCACCCTCCTCACTGGAGCCAGCCCTCACGCCTGAGTAGGGAGGGTATGCCCACAGCTGCGAGCCCCACCGTCACAGAAACTGCTTCCCTGAATCCAAAACCTGAGATGGGCTTGCCCTTGTCCTTCCTCAGTGAAATGACCAGTTAAGGCTGACCTCAAAACACATACACAGAGTCCAGTATTTGAGTCATTATTAAAAGTCTTAGAATCCCAGACTTTCTGTGGTGGGTTGATTTGATTTCATTAAGTTTTGAATTAGAAAAAAAAGATGTACTATAAAATTGATAAACTAAAAAATGTACCAAAGGACAGTCACCAGAAGCATGCAACTCCTAGAATTAGACCATCCATTGTTAATTTGTAGAGGTCTTAGTAAGATATATTTTAATGAATTAAGAATTAATGAATTGAGCCAGGTGTGGTGGCTCATGCCTGTGATCCCAGCACTTGGGAGGCTGAGGCAGGAGGATCATTGTGAGTTCGAGACCAGCCTGGGCTACAAAGTGAGCTCAAGGCCAGCCTGAACTGCATAGTGAGACCCTGTCTCAAAAAGACGAAAAAAAAAAAAAGAATTAATGAATTAATTGATATAGGTAGGTGACTGGGAAGTATTTGAACATACTTAACTATGATTTGATAATTTTTGATCTTTAGATGCCTTATTAATTTTCATAGGCAATACAAAATGAACTTTGAAACTTGACAGATTTTTCAAATTCTAACTAATAAAACCCTCAGTACAAATATTTTATTATATTTCCTCCCATGGAAATGAATATATACCTGACCAGTTTGCCTTTGAATCAGAAGTGATCATTTCCATAATCATTTAAAGTTGTTTTACTTTATCTCTTCTGTCCTAAATCATTTACTGTTTATTTTCTAAGTGCAGTTTGTGTTTAAGTGTCTCAGTGAGTAGTACCTTGGAGAAACTTGCTTCTTCTAAATATGAAAAATGACATAAATGAACACTCTGAGGCACTTTATCCCTGAGCTGTATTGTTACAGTACCTCGGAAAAAAATTTAAAGACCTGTACAATCTCTTTGCAACAATAAGAGTATAATTTCAAGAAAAGAAGCTTACATTTCTTTCCTTCTTCGCAAAAGCTTTACTCACTAAAATCTGGAAAGCCAATTTCATGATGTAATGGGGTAAACGAAGAATGAGGATTCTCATTATCCCCCCCTTTTTAAAACAGACTCACAGTTTGGTTTTATGAGAAAATATGTAACCATTTTAAGAAAGGAAAATGTCTTTCATTGTTGATTCATTTCTGAAAAACTAAGGGGTGGGGCCCACAGTTAAGGTCAATATCAAGCAACTAGTGCAACTCATTTTTTCTGTGCACTGACTAGACTTTTTGTCCATTTAGGCAAGATATCAGTATTCCATATGGAGTTTAAAGGGGTCTACCGCTGCAGGCCAGGCAAGAGCAGGGACAGTAGCAGTGCTGCTCTGACCTGTGCTCTGAGGGACCAAACCTCTGAGGGAGCTGCGCCTGGGCCGCTCGCTTGTGTGGCCTCCTGCAAGGCTGCTGTTGAAGATAAAGTCTTTTCCCACGCAGAATGATTTTGTAGAAAGCCACGTGGAGCTACAGGGGTCTCCTTTAAACTAGATTTGCAGCAGGTAGCTGGTTTGGAAGATGCTCAGAAACCTACCTGTCGCATGTTCTTTCTTCCTAAGATCAAATTTTCTGTTACTATCTAACTGGCATTACGGAGCTCCCCTATGAAATCCACCTTCCCTGTATTGTGTTTTTTGGAGCTTCTGGTTGTCACTGCCTGGTTACACAGTGTTCTCCATGTGCCGTTAGGCATACTGACAAGCTGAAACCCGGGCTGCAGAGCCACTGTGGAAATTACATCTTGGCATTTGCGTCTTATTTATAAAATCATGTTAGTAGTTTCAGAAGAAAAAGAAGATGGATGGATGGGTTGCATTTACCAGAAGTCTTTACATGGCACTTTCCTATCAGAAGAGAACTAATGTTTTAAGTTAATGATATTAGCACCATCAATTTTTCGGTATTTCATTTTGACCCAGTATGAGTTATTGCTGCATTAAATCACCAAAGCTAGCGTTCAGTGTGACTTAGTTTGTGTTAAGGTTTTTTTTTAAACTGATGGATTTTGTCAACAAATGATGATTTCTAAACTTTTGAAAATCAAACTTAGATGGCATCTGGTATAGATGCTGAGGGGTACTCCTCTGCTTGCCCTGGGGCTTGAGCGGAGCCTCTCCTCTCTCCTCCCTAACCACCTAACCCCCCCTCGGCACCCCTGCTTCATCCCTCTCCTCCCACCACCATGAACCCCACGCCCCTCCCTGTTTATGTCACAGGTCCCATCTCTAATAGTGACTTCCTCAGTGTGCTAGGCTTCTCCCTTGGGACCTGCTTCCATGAATTTTGGGTGTCCTAGGGTGGTTTACAGTTGATGATCACAGATTAGAGAAGGAGCATATCCCACGGGGTCCAGCCCTATTCATGCCCAAATCCTCCTTTGACTAGCAAGCACAGTGAGTTTTCAACTAACATACTTCTTGCAAGAACTTTAATTAGTTTTGAAATACTTCACAATACCCCTTTTTTAAGCCCAGAGCCTCAAATAACCAGCTCTTTAAAGTGGGTATCTGGGTGGAGATCCTTTGAATGAAGTTGAGACGGCTACCCATACTGGTAGCTCCAGTTTTAGCATAAAGCACACACACTAGAATCCCTTAAAATATTGTTCTTCTGATAGAAATAAGCTACTCTAAGTCAAAAGTGAATCCTTCATTTGAAAAGATTTCTTAGAGACAAAGAGGAATCTGATTCACTGATGCTATTTGAAAGCTTTTGCATTCTTTAATTACAAATGTGAATTAAAATGCCAGAATACGTTGCAAGTTTTCTTAAAAATGTTCTAAAAGTTGGAAGCATAGCTGTGTTAGAGATTTCTTGGTACATTGGATATTTGACCTGCAGAATAAGAGAATGTAACAGATCTTTTGGAGCAAGGAACTTTTGTCATCTTTAAATACCCACCTGCTACTGTCGGGATGTTAGCATCCAGGATTGTGAAGATAATCATTGACACAGGAACTTGTTTGATCAGTTTTCCAAGGACAGTGGCATCTGACACAGTGACGTCTCACTCATTATCTGGCTTGTGGAACACATAGTCTGATCCTTTTCTGCTGTTCAAGACACTCCTCCCCTGCAGCAGCCTAGGCTGTGGCTCTGCCCCCAGCATGACATATTCAATGACTGAAGTCCCTTTGGGAGCTTCAGAAAGGTTTCAAGCTTTTAATAAAGTAACCTTTCCAAACAGCCATTCAAGCTCAGTTCTTAGTGCATAAAAATTGTGTAAAGGATCATGTCTAAAATTCCTAGCAAGGTGTTACTCCTATACTATTTGGCCAATCACTTCAGCCCATCTCTTTCTCCTTTTCTCTGTCCCTCCTTCCTTTCTTTCTCTCTTCTTCTTTCTTTCCCTTTTTTCTCCTTTCTTGCTGCCTCCCATCTGTCTGTCTGTCTGTGTGTCTGCCTGTCTGTCTCTGTTGTTTTCTCGCTTCTCCCCCTCCACTCCCCACACTAGGGATTAAATCCAGGGCCTTCACACTGAGCTAAATGCCCAGTGCTTTTTTGTTTTTCTTTTCAGGACAGGGTTATCGCAGGGGCTTGAACTTGCAGGTCCCCTGCACGAGCCTCTCACTGATTGTACCTTCAGCTGTACACGTGTTCTCCTGATAGGTCTTGTGCTTGCTGCCTGCTCCTGCGTATCCTCCTCTCCTGAGGCCACTACCAGCCCCTCCCCTCCTTCTTGCTTTCTTTATCTGGCTAAAGTCTGTTTGTCCTTCAGAGTTCGACTCGGGCATCCCTTTTCAGTGACTCTTGCCCAAGCCTGAGTTACGTAGTGTATCAGAGGTGTAGTCAGCTTTAACAGAAAAATCTGCTTAAACAGACTGGACTGGGGTTTGCCCCTGCTTTGCATAAGATATTGAAAGATAGGTGGTGCCGAGTAGGTTCAGAGACTCAAAGAGCTCAGTGCTTCCTGTCCGTCTTCCATCCATTCTTAGTATGTTGGCTTATAGCCTCATAATCACAAGGCCACGAGGCTCCCACAGCTTTGGGTACTGTTCATACTCAAGGAAGGGAGACATGAAAGTGGATGGAGTTAGCCATGTCTGAATCTTCTATTAGGTAAGCAAAATATTTCCTTTCTTACAGGCCAAATACCAATGGCGTGGTTTTCTTTTAGTTGCATGAGGCCTGAGAAATCAGGGAACCTTGATGATTGACATTACACTGAATTGGCCCCAAATTCTAAGTTCTCTTAGCATGGAGGAGGTGAGGAATGAATATCAGGGGAGCTGTGGTGTCTTGGTGCTTATCCCCAGAACAACTATATTATTATTCTGCAGCATCTCTCATGATACTGTAAGCTCCATGTGATTAGCAGCTAGGTCTCTTCCTGTATTACCTAGTGGCTGACATAATACCTGAGTATATAACAGTGACTCAATAAAGATCAATACCACAAGACAACCAGCAAGTGACTATTTAACAAGTATTTGGTTACTTTTTTAGGGGCTGGGGATTTAGCTCAACGGCATAAGTGCCTGCCTTGCAAGCAGGCAGTTGTGAGTTCGATCCCCGGTACCAATAAAAAGGAAAAAGACAAAAAACAAAACAAAAAAAAAACAAGTATTTGGTTACTTTTTAAGTATATTTTAGAAATTCATAACTGTTCATTATTTAATGATGTATTATCACAACAGAATCCCTGAACTGGTCCAGTTGTCAGGCTACAATCGCTTGGTGATGGAGCCACTTCAGGATTCAGCCCAAGCCTAGACTGGAAGACTCTTAGAGGCTGACTGTAAAGCAAGTTTCCCTGCTAGGCTCCGCATGGGAGGACCTTCCAGGGCTCCTAGATTAGTCCCTCGATCCTTTCTGTCTCTGTTTCACCTTGCGGAGAGACTTTGAATGAGGAGGCCTGAGTTCTGCCCCAGGGAAGCAGGTAATAGAAACTAAGTACAACTCCTCTCTGATAAATTTGATAAGACTGCATGGCAGAACTTTTTTCTTTTAGCTTCAACTCATGTCCCCCCAGACTTTCTTTTCCTCCTACGGATGACACCAGTGTCCAGCCGCCCATCCAAACCAGAGACCTGGGAATCTTCAAGTCTGTCTCCCTCTTAACTACATCTTGTCAGTTTACTTTTGAATCATTCGAACTGTTTGTCTTTGTCTCCATCCTACCATATATGCAGGACCTCTTCTCTCCCTCAAGCTGCCCAGATCCTTTTGATTGGTTGCCCTGCTTCCAGTCTTATCTTTCTCAAAAATCATCTTCTCGTTTCCCTGGAAGAAATCTTTTTAAAATGTGCATCCAGCTAGGTCGTTGCTCTGTAATAAAACCTTCACTGTCTTCCTGTTGTCTTCCAGAGAAAGTGTGAGTTCTTCCATGAACTAGCTCCTCTACCACCTCAGCTCCATCCCTCACATGCTTTACCTCCTATCTTTTGTAATAATGAGAAACCACTTGGATTTCCCTCCTCACACAGTACCGTCTCCCACTCCCTGGGTTTGTTCTTGAGGTTGCCTCTGGCTGTAGTGCCCTTCTTACCTACTCTCCCGTTATGCAGGCTGGCTACCTTATTACTCATCTTTTAAAAACAATTACCTTGTTAGAGAAGCCTTCCCTGATTGCTCCTCTCCCTCCTTTACCATTCCGAGCTAGAGCCTGTGCATGCTGTACTAATAATTGTCTAGCGTGTCTCTGCTTGCTCTGCTAGATGCAAATGTGCCCTTCCTGAGGGCAGGAGTGTTTCTGATTCCTCTATGTACTCCGGTGCCTAGCACAGGGTAAGCAACCGATTCATCCCTTTGGACTGGGTGAATGGGTGAGTGGGAGGGGAAACAGCTGGCTTCCAGGCTCATCAAAGGGGCTGAAATGTTACCGATAGAAGGTTGACTTAGCATAGTGTTTGTGTATCGACCTATCTTTATACACCTGTTTACTTTGTCCATGTATGCTATTAATTCTGTGTTGTATTCCTGTTAAAGATGTATTTTGCATTTGGTTTTTAGGTTAAAGCCATTCACATCCATTGTGACATGTTCTCAGTTCAAAATGGCTTGCTGACACCAACACTAAAGGCTAAGAGACCTGAGCTGAGAGAGTACTTCAAAAAACAAATAGAAGAGCTTTACTCAGTCTCCATGTGACGTGCAAGGGAAGTTGTTCTCAGCATAATGGACTACGCAGCAATATTATAGTTATTCTTGAAAGTAACGAGTCAAAGCAACTCAGCTGAAAATGAATAAGCACCTGATTTTATGACTGAGCCTTTTCCTTTCCCAAGAGGTCTTTAACAATATTTTCTCTATCATCACTGAGTACATTTTATTTTTATTAAAATGATACTGTAGAAAGCTGCTAAAAAACATCACAAATGGCAATGTAAAAATCAAGACAGTTTATTAAGAACTGTGTACCACTAAAAGTAATATATTCTCAATATTCATGAAACTCTTATTAAATATAAAGGAAAAACAACTGACATATTGTACTTAATTATTTGTAGACTAATAACCAGATATAGCAAATATCTAGGCAATGTGGGCTACCTCATTCGATAACTGTAATTCACAAATCATTTAAAAATTAAAATGAGGTATACAAAATCATGCTAAAATAAAACAATAACTCTACATGATTTTAAAAATGACAATCCTTTATTGATGTGAAAAGTTCTCATTTTTACTTTTATTCATGAAAAATGCAAATTCAGATAGTCTTAAACAAATGTTATATTTATATAACAACTTACAGAGATCTTTCAATACATTTTTTTAATTTATTAATCTCATTAAAACATTCAGGAACTACCTACACAAATGTAATGTAAAACTTTTTGAGGTTAGTATGCATATATTCCAGGACTTCTTACCATAATGAATTCTAAAAGATGTCTCTTGGTTCTATAACGAATTGACCTTTAGGGAAGACTTAAAAGACAACACTCAGAGCTATTTGTCAGGGTGGGTAGGGCTAGGAATTTAGCTCAGTGGCATAAGTGCCTGCCTGGCAATCACGAGGTCCCAAGTTTGATCCCTGGTACAAAAAAAAAAAAAAAAAAAATGGATTGTTGTATCTCAGGATCGGTAGCAATTAGTATTCCCTGTTGAGGTCTTTCTCTCTTCTATTCTCAGAGGGTCCATGTTGGAGCTGGAAAATGCAGTATGGCTGTAATTCTGAATAAATTTATTTTCTTTCAATATGACTATCAAGGCAGGATGAGAGGAGGAATAGCTGTTGTTTCTAAAGAAAATAATTTTTTACTTTGAAGAGAAAATGATCCATCATAGAGAATTACCTGTTTATGGCATAATTTTATTCTTAGAATCTCCACATGCTCTTAAATGAACTATAAGACCCTCTTTTCTGCATTATGTATTTAAATGCGACCTCCACCTGGGTGACAGGGATTTAAATAATAAATCCCTGATATCATGGTCAGCAGTTCAGTTCTAAGCTATAAGTTGTACACCTAAAGAAGACATGGTCCCTAGGTGTGTTTTTCTTTTGTAGGGATGGAAGTCTGCAAGCACATGAACAATTCATATGCAATTCATGTGTTAAATCAAAGTATGCACACTCAGTGTTCTAGTGCAAGAGCTCACTTCCCTGGAAGAAGTCTAAGCTGAGTCACACAGGCCTGGATGAATCTGCACAGTAATTACATGCTTACATTTCAGTCTTGTCCAAAGTGGACCACAGCTTCATTTGATATATCTAGTTAGGTTTTCACATATTATTTATGTATAATATTTCTGAAGGCCTATGATTACACGTACAAATCGGACACTTAATAAATGAGCCAATTTTATGCACTTTAATTTTAAAGGTGCTTCTGATTAAAGGTATACTTAAAATAGGCCACAGCTGTATAGCTCTGGAATTTTAAATATTTAATACATATTTGATCAATTAAAAGTGAAAATCATTACCTAAATTGGATATTTATACTATTTTAAGGGCAAGTGTCTCCACATTTCAGAGAAAACTTGTTTCCCATTGTATGTCCACTTGACTACAATTTCGTAATTGGCTTTGATTCCAAAAAAAATTCTGAACAATGTATCTCAAGCAAATGATTTAAAACTCATTTTAACTTTATTTATATCTATCTCATAGTAGTTAGCTATGATTAATTGCAGGCAATTTAAGATTTCTTTTGGTCTTTTAGTCTTTGAGATCTTATGTTTCTACTAGATTTCCTGATCTGTGTGAAAGTCCTAACATTTGGGCCAATAAATGGGTCAGCGCAGATGTGCCGAGAAGGGGGGGGGCGCTCCACACACACTGCATGCACATGTATCTATTCTTCTAACGCCACTTAATCTCATAGTAAAGAAAAAAGGAAACAACACGCATTAATGAAACTATCTTGCCTCAGATTTCCCAATCATATATTTCATTTTGGGAGAGGGGATTGAGTTTCCTTTTAACCAGTATAGAAAAAAGATACATAAAGAGCTATAGTCACACTGAGTGTTGGAGCATGTTTAAGTTTAGAGGTCTAACAAAAAATCAACTCTGTAAATATAAATATACTCTTAAATATTTGGCCTTTTTACTTATTTCTAATGAAAACAGGTTAGTAACTCACATGTTGCAGACCAATCCTATTATATATAAAACAAAATATAAATCAATTTATCTTCCTTGTTATAACAGATGTCTCTATGGTTTTGAGATTTCCCTTCCAGGCAGGCCAGGAGACTCGGGCCCATGTAGTACATAGGTATAGCTCCCTATATTAGGAACTCAAACTTGGAAGCCCAGTACTAAATATACCATGTCTCTCCCTCAGACACAGTCACTCTTTAGTTCTAAATTTAGGTAAAACCGTGAGGATGGAAAAAACCCAGGAGTTTCCATTGAAATTTTTACAATCAGGTAATGTTTTAGCAATTCGTAATCAGCAGCTAATTTGATTGTATTACCCATCAAAAAACCAATGGTCTTTTACTTCTCTGCCATAAAGAAAATGAATTATTCTTTATATTCCAACTGTATAAAGCACAAATGTGATAGTTATTTACAATACAAAATACTACAACATGAATATAAAGAATGGGAAAATGTATTTTTGCATGAAAAGAGCACTTGCAAACTTGCTTATCTCAGGAAAAAATGATCATATGTAAAATTGGTAAACTATAAGTTGGCTATATTTTCTTGTATTTTTTAAGGAAGTATTTACATCAAAAGGAAGTATTTAAATCAAAAGGATCCTAGTAGTCTTGTTTTCTCGCAAGTATGCTATATATTCCTGTCTGTGAGTCTACAATCAACTACAATAAAAATGACATTAGCATGCAGGTGAGGACCAAACCCCAGCTCTTCAGTGAGAACACATTAATTGTTGGAACAAAGAAGCAATAGATAAATACTTGGAATACAAACATTTCTAAACTTGGTCTTCAAGTGGAAAAAGATTTACATGAAGTGACAGTGGCATTTAAACATCCATTTGACTTGTTTTAATTTTCCTTGTTAAATCATTGTAATGATTGCATGGAGGAAAAATGGATATTTTTGAAGAATTGCTTATTCTACTTTCAATTTTTGAAAATTGAGGGAATTAAAATATTACTTTTTAAAATGCATAAAGTATCAACTGTAATTATATTTTCATTTGCTTTGTTATAATAGCATGCATATCAAATATAAAATGCATTTATGAAAACTTTTGTAATAAAATAAAGATTTTTCATTTCTCAAAGTTGCTTATAATCACTATTTTATATGCTTATATAAACCTAATTCTTGTGTGGGAATACAGTTGATGGTCAACAATCATGGTGCCCATTCTACCAGAGGATCAAGCTATATTGTCAGCCAGCACATTTGGTGTCATCTACATCTTCTCCAGGTTTCCCCAAATTTCAAAGTCTTATCATGTTGCCAAGGGAACTTCTTTGCTCAGACTTCTGCTGAAACTGTCCCTATCATCAAGTATGTCCTGAGTCAAATAATGTTTATACTTTTAAAAGAACAAATAACTATTCAATTCCATTGGAATAGCTATTAAAATGTTTACTTGTCTTTTGGTCATATACAAATTATTGGGTACACTTTCCTAAAATGGTGGGTTCTGCTAGATCTAAGATATGCAGAGTCTGCCTTTTCCACCTGCGGTGTGTTTGCTTAGTCAGTTCCTTTCTACTCTCAATGCTACTTGTTTAATTTGCACCAGCCTCCTCTCTTATCCGGAATATTACAGTGTTTGCTTAAACAGTCTTTGTGTTCCCACCCCAGCTTCCTCAAATTTCACCATCCACATTTCAATCAGGCACACTTTGTAAACTGAAAATCTGGTCACACACCTTTCCTGTTTAATAGTCCTTCGATGAATTCTCATAGTTTCCACAATAAAGTTCAGAGTCCATCCTTCTGCACATGCAGACTAGTATCTCTTCTCCTACACCTTCTCCTTGTAGCCTTGTCTCTAACTAGGGCACTTACTTTTTGTAGTGACCTAAAACACCATTTGAGAATGCCTCCCTACTACTTTACAAAAAATATTTTGCTGATTCATTTTGTGTGTGTGTGTGTGTGTGTGTGTGTGTGTGTGTGTGTGTGTTGAGGCAGGATCTCACTGTGTAGTGCAGGCTGACCTTGAACTCACTTATGTAGTGCAGGCTGGCCTTGAACTCACTTATGTAGCCCAGGCTGGCCTCAAACTCACAGTGATCCTCCTTTTTCAGCCCCCCAAGTGCTGGGATTACAGGTGTGCACCACCACACCAAGCCAATGATTCATTATCTTTTAAATTGTTATATTCCTAGAAGCAGATTTTAAATTTAAAACAGTGATTATCTTATAGAAATATGATGGATATATGTGCTTACATTCACATAACATTGAGGTCTTACAGAAACATCTCTTAAGCTTTTTGTAATTTCATTTCTACAAACTGCCTTTTTCAATGATGTGAAATACTATTTTTTTAAATAAGGTGGCTGTTGTTATGTGTGCCATATGCTTATCACATACTGCCAAATTGTTCCACCTGAGTGCATGGAGAGAAAGGGAGGTCAGCCCTATTTCTCTTCAGTTAGTGGGGCACATCTGGGTGCCCAGGGGAGCCTCTCAATCTTCTAGCTTGACTACAAGGGTGCTCAAATGTCCAGAAGGCAGGCCCAGGCTAAGGGACTCTGCCTGTCCTTGAAAAGAGATCAGAGTCCAAGATCTCAGAAGGCTTGGTTAATTCACAGACACCATAGCCTGCAGCCCTGTGCTCTGAGATCTAAGGCCTTGGGTAGCGCTGATAGAATGGTGAAGGCAGGCTTGCCAGACAGGTAGTGCTGCTCTTGGGCCTATAGGCCTAACAAGGAAATCAAAAGTAAAGAAACCTGGACAGAAACAAACACACCAACAAAACCACCTTTTCCCAGCAAACCAGCATACAGCACGGATCCCACCGTAGCGGGCCGCCTCTAGAGGGCGGGACCGCAGGCCTAGTCCTGCGTCTTCCCAGAAGCCCCTGCGCGGCCTCGCTGGATAAAAAGGCTGGAGCTCGGCCCGAAGCGCGCTGCTACGGAGCGTGTCTTTGCTGTAGGGTGTGAGGCTGTGTCTCTAGGCCTTGGCTCTGACTGTGCTTGGTTTCCTCAGTAAGACGACGGGGCAGGTCGTGGAGGCCCAGAGGCTGTCGAGGCCTGGGGGTGGCATGGCGTTGTGGCCACTACGAGTCTATCCTCGCAAGAGGGCGGGCCGGAGGCTCAACTTAACCCCGACGCCAGACCTCGGCCCGTCCGCGACGGCCGAGGTGGCCCCGCCACGTCCGGGCCCACGGCCTCTCACAGCGCCTCGCGGGCTTCGCCTCGGGCCCAGAGACGCCCAGGGCTTCGCAGGCCCGCAGGGGAAGGGCAAAGGGCGAGGCTTGCCGCAGATAGCGGAGAAAGCGGAGTGGGGCGGGCCGGGAAGCCGTGGCGCTGAGGAGCCGAGGTGCGTAGTCTAGCTCAGTGGCCGCTGAGCCTATTTCTCCGAAAACTTCCAATCTCATGCCCTAATTGTAGCTTCTCTTAATTAGGAATCAACTGAGAAAATTAGTAGGATATTCTCATTTCGCGCTTCTTAGAAATGAAATATACTTTGATTTCAGATTGAAAAACAACCCAAACAACAACAACCCAAGGGACTGAAACCTAGGGCCTTCACACTGAGCTACATTCCCACAATCTCACTCAGTGGCCAAAGTGCTCACGCTGGGCACCAGCTTGAGATCCTCCTGCCTTACCCTCCCAAACTGGTAGAATTACAATCATGTGCTTAGTATGTGCCCCTGTGCCTGGCGAAGTTTTTGTTTTTGTGTTAATTTTTTATGGACAGGTTGAAGGTCTAGCTCAGTGCTTAAAAGATTGTAGCTCAGTGTTGAATTAAAAAGGGTGTCCAGCCTTCATAGCACAGTTTGGGTATTGGTGCAGATTATCTGATCTTCTCCCTGAATCTTTGCAAATCCCCAGCTGCGTGGATAGAGAGGTGGAGAGTCAAGTCCAGATGGTGCAAACTAACTGTGTTGTTTGTTTGTTAGCACTCAGTTAAGAGATTCGGGAGAGAAAAGTCTTCCAGCAAGTAACACTTGCGAAGAGACCCAGAATGAGATTGCTCCATTGAGCGTATGTATGTTTCTGCCCTTGGTTACCTGTAGAGATGTACAGTAGTTGCTGTGCTTTCCAGTGAAAAAATAAAATGGTCTTCATTCAGTAGAAACTGCTAGATTTCTAGTATTTTTGAAGACATTGACGTGTTCTTGGGAATCCTCGAATTTCTAACAGATAAATAGCTATGCACGTTTACTTTTTTTCTTTAAAGTATTGGAGAGAAGGGTGTTACTCATTTTCTGTAACAGATTTAAAACTTAGTTCCTTTATATTTTAGTATAAAATATATAGTATTTAGTATATTTAGCAGTTAAACATTTTAAAGCCATTTTCACATTTTTCCATTTGGCTTTCCATTGACCACTAGAAACATGATTCATTACAGCTGCACAATAGTAATTTTGGGAAACTCATTTTTAAAAATTGTGACTGTGACACTAACATTAAGCTTGATAGTAAAGTTCTAGAGTGTTAGCTTACAGGTTCTACGATAACATGTTTTTGATGGATGCCAGTTTCAACATCAGGCATTTTTAAAAAAGGATTTTATTCTGTATTTTAAAAGTACATGGGGAAGTATTCCTTGCAGATGATTCCATTATGCAAAAAATCATTTTTTTTGTCTTTTTCCTTTTTAATCACTATTAGGGATCAAACTCACGACCACACACTTGCAAGGCAGGCACTTATGCCACTGAGCTAAATCCCCAGCCCCCAAAATACCATTTTAAAAGTTTATTTTTTTGTATGCTTCCTTTTGCTTTTTTCTGTGCTTTAAAAACTTTTGCAAGTTGTTATTATATATTTCTCTAATATTAAATAGTTGCTAAAATATCATTTTTAGTGTTTTGACTTGTAGATAGATATACTGTAATTTGTATAACTTTCTGAGATTGGAAAACAAATTGCTTCCAAGGTATGCCTGTTGTAGATACCAGTAGACATCTTGCTACTGAAGGTTTTTGTGTGTGTGTATCTCAAATTATTACCCTAAAATAAATACTTTGCAATGGATCAAAAGGTAGATTGTGTTTAAAGTTTTCTGATTCATGTTGGTAAATTGGCAAAACTTTTAACCTTGATAGGTAAAAGAATAAAATGGTATTCGTTCATTCGTTAGCTTTCTAGTATTTTTGAAGACAGTGATAGTGAAAGTGGCATATTGTTTTGTTTGCCATATCTTTGATTGCTTGTGAAGTTGATACTTTTTTCTTAAGTTATTGGCTATTTGTATTTCTTTTTTCATATGTGAAACATCTACCTATTATATATTTCCATATTTGTTTATACATCTTTTAATTTTAGTACTTTAGACTGATTTATTATTTTCTTGTATTTGCCTTTATATTTAGATTTTTAAAAAGCCCTTCTTAAACGATCAGAAAAATATTAAGCTTTATCTTTTACTTACTTGTTTATCTCACAGCACTGATTAGGCAGTACAATGTTTTGTTGATTTCCAGGATATGTTCATAGTATTGTTTTAATTATTTTGAGATTTACTATTGAATAACAGGTTACATCTGTGATCGGTTAGTTAAAAGAATATATTATAGATGTGAAAGTGATGCACAAGGATGACATTAGTTTTTCATTCTCCAAATAACTAATGTGATATGAAAATAGTCAATCTCATAATTTTTGCTCTTATAGGAGTCAGTGACTGATGACCTCCAAGTTGACAGTAGTTCATCAAACAGTGAGCTAGTATCAGGTAAGACTGTCAGGTTGAACTTCCTCAACTTTCTCTTTCCTCCAAACAAAAACATCCATCAGTATCTTTCTACAGCTTTCCGTTTCAGTGGAAGAGGTGCTTTTACCCTACTTCAATATGAATTCTTCTGACAGTGTGCTGAACCTCACCTTCAGAACGTATAAACACATACTAATAAATGTGATATTATAATGAGTGTTACAAAAGAGAGACTAACTTGAGTATAATTAATTGAATTTAGCTAGAGATATTAGGGAGTGTTTCCATGAAAGAATGACAATTGAATTGAGATCTGAAAGAGTAGAAATTATACAAAGAGATGAATGAAGAGAAATCTACGCAGGAGGAATAGTGTGTGCAGAGACTTAATGTGGGAATAATTACTCCATGTTCAGTGAAAGAAAGTCAATGTGACTAGAGTATGGATAGTACCAAGAAGTGTGATTCCAAGACAAGATTAAACAGCCAGGTAGAGTCTTTGCATAACCTAGTAGTTTGCAGCATCAGAGATACTTTTGTTTATCTTTAGAGCGGAAGGAAGCTATTAAAGTCTTTGAATAGGTAGTAATATGATCAGTTTAGCTTCAGGTTTCAGTACCTGATATCAGTGTCAAACATACAGGTGGTCAAGGGATGAATGATAGGAATTTTTGAGCCATCCACATATCGGTACAATTAAAGTTATCTTTGAAAACAAGAATGAATGCTATTAGCACACTAGAAATACAGAGAATTTAAAGGCAAATGAAACTGAATTGATGAATATATCAAAAGCACAGGGAAGAGTATTATTAAAGATACTCCAAACTCTTGGCCAAAAATTATAATAAAGCAATCTTGAAGGAATTATCAAACTGATGGATTAAAAACTACTATACATTTGCAATACTTGCTCACTTTTTTCTCATCCACTTCTTATATTAGAAACACTACAAGTACCTGCTACCAGGATAAAACCTGAGAACTACTTCCAAGCACAGTAGAATCTAGTAATTTTGTAGCATATTAAATAAATAATTTAGAATTTCATATATACTGTGGAAGATTGAACGTCACCATTTACTCCTTTTTGACGATCCTCTAAAATGGAAATAAAAGTACACAGAACTTGTGAGTCCATAGATGAGGAAGAGATAAGAGTTTGGAGTCTAGAAGGTAGATGGATGGATTATTATTTATTTAACCTGAAAGACTGAAAGCTAGGTTCCTAGAGAAGGGACAAAGCAGGAAGCAAACTGACTCAGAATGTAGGTTCAGGAATTTGAGGCATCACATATTCCTGAAGAAATGAGTGATAGTGTTGAAAATAAACCTTTTGGAAATCTTTAAAGTGACAGTTAAGTGCTTTGATCCACTCCTGTGGTAAGGCACCTACCCTTGGTCCATCCCAGCACTCCAAGGACATTGAAGTAAAAGGACTGGACTCAGATGCTGCATACTGCTAAGGCCTGGGTACTATATTGAAAACTAACACTGGCAAGAGAAGGAAGGAGATTAATTAAAAGTCTGTAACTTAGTGGTGAAACCCCAGGACCCCCTTGTCCCTCTCAGGTAGACAGGAAGACCTACAATGTGGCATTAATGGCCTGCTACCCAAGTACCCTGCACTAAGCCCAGCTTTTCCTAGGACCCACTTATGATGCCATTTTAGTACTTGCTTTTGACAGTAAAGAATTACCAGGCATTTGAAGTAAACATTTAAAATAAAAGATACTAAATAAAAAGAAACTTGAAGGACATAGATAGTGAAAAACATAATTTTGTTAATGTACTCAAGATAATGGGGAAATTTTTCCATGAAACAAGTGCAGACTATTATAAAAAGAAGCAGTCAGAGAACAAAAAGAACTTTTTGCAACTTAAAAAATTTTCATTTTATTAGATGATAAATTTAGGAAAAAACTCAGACAATTGAACAGACATCAAAGAGAAGGTAAAAATAGTAGCAGTGATGGCACCATTATGTGAATATATACAAAAACCACTGAATTTTACTATATTTCATAATTTTTTTATTTTAAAGATAGAAAACCCAACATAACAAAGTCAATCAAAACAAAGCAGCAAAATTGATACAGACTTCAAAGCAGGATAGTAGGCAAACAATAATAGCTACCATAGTATATCTTGTTATCTTCACAGTAATTGTCCATTCCATCAGGTATAGTAAAATCAAACCAAAACCAAAACAGAACATTGAATAAAGCAAAACAATCAGAACAAAGCAAAACAGAATAATACTAGGTTTCAAAGACAAAACACAAGGAAATCCACCATATTTGCTATATTGCATGCTGTCATCCTCCCAAGAGATGTTCAGACTGCTGGCCTCAGGCCTGCAAAATTGACCAAACAATACAAGCATTTAGTTGCTTTATATACTGTAATTGCTATTAATTCAGCCTGTCCTCCCAACCTGAGTTGCTTGCAGGGGTGAGGTGGGGTTTGATTGTCAGCCCAAACACAGGTAGGCTCATGGGAGGCAATGACTTTTTTCTTTCTGGAAGTCATGTGCTGTGGTTTGCATGGCTTAGCAGAAAGGCTGCCTGGTTGGCTTCTTTTTAGATCCTCCCAGTCCCAGCATGGTGGATTCTTGGGAGGTGCTGACATTTCTTTCTTGATTTTTACTATAAATGTTTAACTTAAAGTGGCATGTGAATTATGTCTAGATAAAACTGTTATTTTTAATAGTTTTATAGTGTAAGAATTCTAACATCTGAAAAATAGTAGTTCCTAACATTATAGAATGAATACAAAAGAAATTATTAAGCACATGAAACCAGAAATGTTTTTAGAATTAAAAATAGTCATGAGCATACATATTGAAAAAATCTTTAAGATTTGTACAGTAAGAATGGAGTTGTGGAGATACAAGTTTAAGTGGTATAAACTATTTATGCTATTGCCATACATGAAAAAGACTGACATCAAGGTACAACATTATATAATTGGAAAGTCCTCAGAGTAAAGAGAGAAATCCTTCATTCTTCTAGAGAAGAGAAAATCAGTTGCAAAAAAGCAATCAGGAGTATAATGACATTGAATTAGGCTCGTGATTGTAATCCCAATACTCTGGAAGACTGAGGCAAGCAGAATCAAAATCACAAGTTCAAATTCTGCCTGAACAATTTAGCAAGACCCTATCTCAAAAAACGAAAAGGGCTTGGGCATGTAACTTGGTGGTGGAGCAGCCCTGAAAAACGATACATGTATGTAAAACATTGGATTGCTGTCTGTAGGCAACCCCAAAAAGAAGCTAGAACGTTGTGGTAGTAGGGGGATACTTTTAAAATTCTGGAGAAAATTGAGGTAGGATGGTTCTCTCACCCAAAGTTTGATTTGGCTTTTCAAGACTAATTTCATACCTATCAAGATGGTATGAAATATTTCTTTTTCATACAGTGAAAAGAGATGGCTCCATGCAATCCTGAAAATGCTTGAGAAGGCAGGGAAAGGAAACTAGCCTGGGGGTTCTTATGGCCGTTAGCTGGTGGGACTGGAATGTGGTTTCCATTTATGCTCTGAACTTAGAACCACCAAGAGATGAAGCCCTAAGGCTTTTTTTTTTTTTTTTTTTTTTTTTTGGTCAGCTTTCCCAGATGTAGGGCAGAAGGCAATGAGGGAAAAGTGAGGTTTAAAAGCTGTCATATGGGCTGGGGATTTAGCTCAGCAGCATAAGCGCCTGCCTTGCAAGTGTGCGGTCGTGAGTTCGATCCCTGGTACCGATTAAAAAAAAAAAAAAAAAAAAAAAAACGAAAAAGACAAAGCTGTCATATGCAAAAGCTGGGATCAGTTTCTTAAATATAGAATTCTGTACCAGCTAGTCATTCAAGTGTGAAGATAACATAAATAAAATGCTAGATCAAAAGACAAATAGAAAAATAGAAAAAGTAAACATTAGATTTATGTGCCTCTTCTCAGAAAATGAAGAAAATGCTCCAAGGAATGCAGAGAGAAAATTAATAAAGAGAAAATTATGGGTACAGATCAAAGTTTGTAATATAGGAAACATGTGAAAGAATGTTAGGATAATAATAAATGAAAATAAAAAGGCATTTGTAGCATATCAAGATTTAGCCTACCTAAATTTCCTCATGTGGATAAATATTTCTAGTAGCAATACTTCTTTAACAAAGTAAATAGAAAAAATATATAAACAGAAGGGATAAAGAGAAAAAATAGAAGACAAAAAAAGAGAAGAAAGGGGAAACCATGGAAAAAATAATGTAGAGTTAACCTGATGTTTCTAAGATACTGTGAGGAGATTTGTACTTTTGCAAAACTGAGATGAAATGGTAATAAGTACTTAGAAAACTGATTTTAAAATTAGATAATAAGTTACTCAAAGGAAAAACAAAAACTAGTGACAATAGGTTTTGAGTATAGCTCATAGTATCTGAATCAACTGAATATATTCGAACAGTCATAATAGTAGCAATGTTGAATACATTTAATTTAGAAATGTGAAGGAGGTGAAAAAAAGGTTAAAAATCATGAGACTCTAGAAATTAGGGAATTAAAAAGCTATAAGATAGCTCAGATTTGTTGCAAGCTTTGTAGAACTATCTTACTTTTTAAAAATGTACAGTATAATTTGATAAAAGCACATTTAAATTTCTAACTTGTAAGGCCAGGAACAACCATACTCATACAATATGAACACTGTTTTTTCTCTACCTAACTACCCAGATGGTGAGTATAGGGCTTTTCTTATTTCTTATTTCTGAGCCTTGCTTGAGTTCTGGGATTTGGTAGCTGGGATAGCTATGCTGTGAATGGCATTCAAGAAATTTCAGGAGGGGGCTGGGCATTTAGCTCAGTGGCATAAGCTCCTGCCTTGCAAGCAGGCAGTCGTGAGTTCGATCCCTGGTACTGATAAAAAAAAGAAAGAGACAAAAAAAAAAGAAAAGAAATTTCAGGAGATAGCAGGCAAGACAGATTACAACAACATATGTAGGAAGGGTAAGACAAAATAAAAACTGAAAAGGTAGCAAGGACAGGGACAGATAACTTTAAGGCAGTGGTGGTGAACCTATGGCACACATGTTACTGTGTTTTTAAGACAAAAGGTGTTAATGTATGAGTTTTTTTTTTAAACTAAAACATAATTGCAGCACTGGCATTTTTGTGATAAGCGAGTTTCTTGTTTGCAGTTTGGGCACTTGGTCTCTAAAAAGTTCGCCATCACTGCTTCAGGGCATATAGGGAGAGGTAGCAAAGGATGTTTACAGAAATAACCTACTTTTGACATCTGAGAAAGTTATTGTTTTTAACAGAGAGGTAGTGAGGTGAGGGACCAAGGGTTAGTTAATTTTAGGATTTACTTTAAGGACTGTGATCCATTGAGATTTAATTTTTTATATGATGGTATTTTATGGTGTTTTGTATGATACATATTTTATGTGATATATGTTTTACATATTTTTATGAGATACTATTTTATAGTATTACAATGTGCTTATAAATTTTTGTTCTGTTTTGCATATAGATAACCAGTTGTTATAGCACAGTTTGTGTAAAAAGTTATCCTTCCTCTACTAAATTACCTTTACATTTTGATCAAAAATCAATTGCTTATATATGTATGAATCTGATACTGGTCTGTCTGTTCAGTTCCTTTGATCTATTTTTATAGGCTCATTTTTTTTTTAATGAAATAACTAGACTCACTTTTTCCTTTTCTTAGTGGTTAGTTTGCAATTAGTGAATCACTTATATATGGAACTTGAATTTTTAAGCCAAGAATCACAACCAAAAGAAAAGTAAGTGTCAAAACTTTAAAAAATAATGGAAGATCATAATGCATTTTATTAAAATCAAAACAATTGTTTTCTAAAATTCAGACAAAAGTTTGTAATATGATGCCTTTGCAATTGTATGTAAAAGCAGTTTTTTACATCTTAGTATACAGCCACATATACATTTTTATAAATTTGAATTCTTATTGTTTCAAGTCTGTATTCTATTGAGATACTTTACCCTTTCTGTTTGTTTTTTTATCTTATAGGACCAGGTTTACAAAGTGATACCTCCATTTCTTTTCTGAGCTATTCAGCAACAGAGTCTTCTACAGACTACAACAGCATTGAAGAAAATTTAAGTAGCTTCTCCTCACCTGAACTGTTTAGAGGGTCAAATTATTTGGGTGAGAATTTAATTTAAACCTTAAATTGCCTCACTATATAAATTGTTCTTTTGTCTACAAATTCTCAATGAGTAAATACTTTTGAGAAAACATACTTCTCTTTTTTACTAACACTTCCCTCTGCTGACCATTACCATTGTGTTCCACGTGTAGTAGCACAGAACTATAGAATAATTGCCCAAAGATCAGAGAAGGGTGAAAAAAGGTCATTTAGCACTTAATATGTAATACACACCCAATTATCAATCGATTTTGTATGTAATGAATGTAAACTTTTTCTCCTGAGCTATGGGTTATCTCTTATTTCATGTATTTCTCTTAGTTTTCAGCACATAACTTAAATATTAACTGGTCACATCTACAAATTAATACATTGCTATTCATTGTGCTTATAACTAAGAGTATTTGTTGGTGGTAACAAACCAAATGCATATTTTACAACTTTCTGCAGTGACATAAAATAGATTCTTCATTTCTTCTTCTGTTTAAAAAGAAAATAAACCCATAATGACAAAATAAGTATGAAAAAGAAAACAAAGTTTGGAAAGCTGAAGATCAGATGGTTTGATATAGCAGAAAGATGAACCTAAATCAATAATGTGAATATTACACAGATAATCCAGTTTACACCACAGTATCCCCCAGAAAATCTTAAAATTTGGCTGCACAAAATACTTTTAAAAAGTTATGTCAGAAATTTGGCAGGTACGCTGTCTGCTTCATTTGTATCCAAATGGAGTCTCTGAACTTACTGTCTGGGGTGTTTTGAAAAGAACTGTGAACTAGAAGATGCTAGGCACTATCAGTAGCAGGGATATGGTGAGATTTTGAAATAGTGGTCCAAATTACTCCTGCTTCTATTGTACTTTTATACTCCTTGGCTTTGGAGATGGCCAGGTAATTTGCTTTGGGGAAATGGGATATCAGTGAACAAAAGAAAAGCTTTGAAGCATACTTAAATGGAAGGAGTCTCTTCTTACGTCATCATTTTGGGAAAAACACATCTTAATTAGCTTCTGCCCCTCATGAGAGACCCCAGAATGAGAAAGACAAAGAAGATCAACCCCAAGCAACCTGCTGATTCCACAGAGCTGCTCCAGATGTACTGCAGATCTGTAACCTGAAGCAGAGCTGCCTGAGTAAACCAGTAGACACAGGATAGTAACTAAATGTTTTGTTTTGAGCCACTGAAATTTGAGGATTGCTTACAGCAAAGGTTAGGCACTAAGCACAGAGGAGAAGAATTAAATGAAACTGCCAATCCTAATTGTGGGGACTCCTCCTGTTCCTACCCTCACCCAACACCTCATTTGTCTGCTCAGCTTCCAGAAAACTGGCACCCAAACATGCTAGACATAAAAATGGAAGATTCTTTACTGAAGAATTTGAGCAGTCCAAAATAAAATATCTAAAGATACTAACTTTCATAGTCCTTCAATGAAATTGCCTACTCAGAACACTATAGTGAAGCCAGCTATGTGACAAGGCCATAGGGACTACGTAGTCTTTTAGGTCACACTTTTAAATATGGTCAGAGATCCAGGGATCACCAGGAAATGATCTTTTAATGTTAGAAAATACTCTAAAATTAAAAATAGAAACCAAAACAAAATATAATATGGGAAAGACATCCACAAGATGTCAGCATAGGAAGTACTGGACCTTATTTCTCCCCATGAATATACTGTTTTAACAGCAATTCATGGTATAATTCTCTTTGTGAGAAATCCATAGACTAATGGAAGGGCTTGTACACCCTAGCCAAACATAAAAATAGCCACCTTGAAGTCAGTAGGAAAGCTTAAGATGTCAAATTACTATATAACACCTATCTCTGGCACAGCATCATGTAATTGGTAGGAAACTTCTAAGTCCTATGTGTTCTCCCAAAGGGTTGTGGGAAAGAAAAGGCTGGACCATATACCCATTGTTCTGAATTTTTTTGAGAGATGCATGACAGACTGACTTCTTTCTTATTCTGTTTCTGAGGAATAAACTAGCTTAGACTAGCATGTAGGTATTTGCCATACCCCCTTTATTCAACTCAGTGAAAAATGTGAGTAGACAAAAACCTCCAGGTCCCACATTACCCCTGGAAAAGGAAGAGTTACATTGTGTGTGCAGTATTCTTTTCTAAGGGTTTCCCATGGGACTGCTGCTGTCTCACCTGACTCAGAGCACTGATGTGGCCCAATATACTCTAGACTGAGGGCTGCTGAGAACAAAGACATTGGTAAGGCAGGCATTGTAGCACATGACTGTAACCCCGGAACTTTTGAAGGATGAGACAGGAGGATTCCAAGTTCAAATGCTGCTGGTCAGTTTAGCAAGATCCTGTCTCAAATAATAAAGGGCTTGAGAATGTAGCTTAGTGGTGCCCCTGGGATTCATCCCTAGTAGCACAAAATTGATTCCTGAACAAAGTCTTAGCTGTTTGGTGAGGGTCTTCTCTTATACGAAATCAACCCTTGAGCCTAGGATAGGTTCTTATTTTTTTTAATGTACAGATACCAGCATTGAGATGCAAAGAATATGAAGACAGAGAAACATATTCTAAACAAAAGAACAGCATAAAATACTTAGAAGGTAACTCTAATGGTACCTCTAATCTCCTTACATGGAGATGGAAGGATTATCTGACAACTAATTCAAAATAATCATCACAAGCCCATGTGGTGGTGCATGCCTTGTAGTCCCAGACTCGGCTGAGGCAGGAGGATTGTTGCAAGTTTGAGACAAGCCTGGGCTACAAAGTGAGCTCAAGGCAATCTGAACTGCACAATGAGATCCTGTCTCAAAAAAGACAAAATAATTATCACAAAGACCCGCAAAGCTCAAGAGAATGATTCATGGACAAAGTGAAAATTTTAACAAAGAGGAAATTTTAGTAAGAACCAAACAAATTTTGGAGCTAAATAGCATAGTAACTAAAATGAGAAATTCAACAGCTTTAACAGCAGACTATATTAAGAATAAATAATCAACTCAAAGACAGGTCATTTAAAAGTCATGTAGTCATAGATACAACATGAAAAATAATGAAAAAGAATAAAAATAGCTTAAGAGACTCATGGGACAGTATCAGGCAGATCATTGTAAGCATTACCAGGATCCTGGAAGAAAAGAGAGAAGGGACCAGAAAGCTTATTCAAAGAAACAATGGCTAAAAAATCCCAAACTTGAGAAATGAAATGAATATCCAAATACTGTATAGGAATCCCTGTAGATCCCAAATAAGAATTCAAATAAGCCACACTGAAATACACTATAGCCACACAAAGAGCAAATTTCACAAGCAGCAAGAAAAGTGACTGACATGTGTAAGAAAACTTATATAAAAGTGGAAGTATATTTTTTTCCCCAGAAAGTTTACAGGCCAGAAGGGAAAGAAACAAAGTATTGAGAGCGCTGAAAGGGACATTTTCAATGAGGAATGCCAAACGTTTCCAAACTGTTTTTCAAAAATGAATGGAGAGGTGAGGAATTTCTTGGAAAAAAGCTGAAGAAATTTATCATAAGACTTACCTTTTAAGAAATGCTAGAGAGCTTCAAATTGAACTTCAAGGACACTAAACATAAACATACAAATGTGAAAGTATACAACTCACTTGTAAATTTATAGGAAAATACAGAACACTAATATTACAATAGTGGTATGAAAATCACTTAATTCTCGTAAAGTTTAAAAGTATTTAAAATGACTATAAAATGTGACAGTGAATATGCAGTGTAAAATATCTAAATTGTGAAATAAGTAACAAAGTATAGAAGGGGAGTAAAAGTAATTTTTGTGTACTTGAAATTGTTATCAGTGTACATAGACTATGATAACTACATGAGAATTTATGTCTCAGGGTCACCACAAAGAAAATACATACAAAATATACACAAATGGAAAAGAAAAAGGATCAAGGCATACTGGTACCTTCCAAATCAGTAAAAAATGAATACAGCAATAGAGGGGAGAGTGACAAAAGAACTAAAAAACAGGCTTTAAATAAAAATAAAATAAATTAAATAAAAGCCAGGGATTTAGCTCAGTGGTACAAGTGCTTGCCTGGCAAGTGTGAGGTCATGAGTTCGATCCCCAGTATCCTCCCAAAATATATATGTATACATATATATACACACACAAGACATAAAGAAGGTATCTTAAAATGTATAATGATAAGTGATCAATATAAGGATAAATGATTTTGAGTCAGTTCACCAGGAAGACTTAACAATTATACATATACACCCAACATCAGCATACCTAAATAAGTAAAAATTGATGGAACTGGAAGGAGAAGTAAACACCAGGGTCAGAATATTATGAGACATGGATACTCACTTTAAACAGTGGATAGAATATACACAGAATCAGGAAATGGCAGATTTAGCAACACTAGATCAAGTGTACATAATAAACATGCAGAACATTTTACCTAATAGCAATGGAATACACGTTATCCTCACATATATAGAAAAATAGAGTGAATCAGTATTGTTACAAAACAAGTCTTAAAAAACTTCAGATTTAAGTCATTTCAAATATTTTTTCTCAATCACAAATGAAACTAGAAATCGTAGCAGAAAGAATACTTCACAAATATGTGCAAGTTAACACACTCCTAAAAAACCAGGTAGTCAAAAAAGAAATCAAAAGGGAAATTATAAAATATCTTAAGATATAAATAAAACATACTAACTCATGGGACACAGCAAAAGCTGTGGGGATTTTAAAGCAGAAAGTGACTACATTAAAAAGAAAACCATGGGCACAGATAAAGGCTTCCTAAATAGAATTCCAATAGCACAAAAAATAATATCACGAATCAACAAATCAGACTATGCCAGTTTAAAAAGTTTCTGCATAAAAAAGGAAACAGCTAACAGTGAAGGGACATCAAAAATTATTTGCCAGCTACTCATATCTAAAGATTAATATCTAGACTATACAAAGGATTTTTTAAAACCTACCAAAAAATCAAATAGCCTGTTGAATAAATGGGCAAGTGAATTGAACAGACACTTCTCAAAAGAAGTACAGAGGACCAGTAAATATATTTTTAAAAAGTTAGTATCTTCAGCCTTTGGGAGATGAATTCAAAACTGCATTGTGATTCTATTTCACCCCTGTCAGAATGGCTATCATCACGGATACAAAAACCAGTAAATTCTGGCAAGGATGCAGGGAAATAGTAACTCTCCTACTCTGCTGGTAGGAATATAAATTAGTATACCTCCTACAGAAACTGGCATGAAGGCACCTCAAAAAACTCAAAATAGAGCTACCATTTACCTCAGGTATACCATTTCTTGGTATATGCCTTAAGGAATTAGAGTCAGTATAATGTAGGTATACCTGCTATCTGTTTATTGCGGCACAATTGCAAGCCAAAATAGGAAACCAGCGTAGGTTGCAGCAGATGAATGGATGAAGAAAATGTATCATTAACCCCCCGAAATTCAAGAGCCTCTCCAAAAATGGACATCGGAGATGAACATACAGTTCTCAGATGAAGATATGAAAATGGCAAATAAAAACATAAAGAAATGTTCACCATCACTGACCATTTGAGGAATGCAAATTAAAACAACATTGAGATTTCATCTCACGATGGAAAGAATGGCTGCCATCAGGAAAACAACTGATAACAAATCTTGGCGAGGATGCAGGTAAAAAGGAACACTTCCCCACTGTTGGTGGGAGTGAAGACTGGTGCAACCACTGTGGAAATCAGTTTGGAGATTCCTCAGAAAACTAGGATTTGGAGGTTCCATTCAATCCAGCTATTCCCCTTCTGGGTATTTTCCCCCCAAAATTGAAAAGGTCATGTCAGAGAGATATATGTGCACCCATGTTCATAGCTGCACAATTTGTGTTAGATAAATCTTGTAAACAACCAAAATGCCCATCAACCACAGAGTAGATTTTAAAAATTTATTTTTATACAGTGGAATACTGCTCAGCTATAAAAAAGGATAATCTTGAAGCCTTTATAAGTAAATGGAGGTATCCTCATTATTGAAGTACACAAGGCTCACATTAGTAATTATCACATTGTTTCCCTAGTGTAAAAAAATAATAAAAACTGAGAGAATAATGGGATCCAAAAAGTATAATAGATATGGTAAAAGTGAGAGGGAAGGCAAGTGCTCTAAAGGGTATAACACTATATATAGTGTGTAAGATAGATGACCATATTACTGAATTTCTGTTGGATCATTGAATCTCAGGAGGGTTTGCACTGTCAATGTTTGAGTGTCTAACCACTTTTTATGCTTTGATTTTGTGACTTTGGCAACTATTTTAAAGATGACAATGAGTAATGTATCAACTAGAAATTTTGTCGTGTTATTTTTTTTAAATTCAGTATTCTACCTTTTTCTGTTTTTATTTTTTAAATTTTTTTTTCTTTCTTTCTTTGAAAAAAAAAACAATATGCAATATAACAACCATCGTTAAATTTCTTTCATTCTGTTTTGAAAACCTATTTTGTTACTGTTTTGGGTTTGTTGTTATTGTTTATCTCTTTTTCCTTTTGTTTTTCTTTTCTGAATTTTTTCATTTTAAAATTTAAAAAATGGGATTCTTTTAAAATAAAAAAGAAAATGTATGTATAATACAGTTAGATATTGTTTAGCCATAAAGAAGAATAAAATTTTGTCATTTGTAGGAAAATACATGGATATTATTAGAACTTCAAGCAGCCAAAACAATCTTGTGAAAGAACAAAATGGGAGTACCACATTTCTTGATTTCAAAATATAGTATATAGTAATTAAAACACTATATTGCTGTCATTCTGCCACCAAAACTACATGGCACAGACATACACCAATGGAATAGAATGGAAAGCCAAGAAATAATACTGTGCATATGTAGTCAACAGATCTTTGATGGAGTGTTAAGGGTACACAGTGAGGAAAAGATAACCTTTTCCACAGATGCTGTTAGTAGATATAGATAGCTATATTCAAAAGGATGAAATTAGATCTTTATACATCATTAGATCTTATATACATCATATACAAGAATCAAGTGAAAATGAATTAAAGACTAAAATATCGAAAAACTTAAAAAAACGTAAAACTAAAAATTAATGAAAAAGTGACATTTTTCTTAGCAATGATTTTTTGACTGTGACACCAAAAGTATAGGTTAAAAAAAAACAAAAATAGACAAGTAGTACTATATAAAACTAAACAGCATATTCACAGCACAAAAATCAACAGTAAAAATTACAAACTGCAGAATTAGAGGAGATAGTTACAATCAGATAAAGTGATTAAACTATATAAGAAATTCAATAACAAAGAAAAACAAAACCAATAACCTGATAAAAATGGGTGAAGAACTTTAGGATACATTTCTCCAAAGACATAGAAATGGCGAACAAAAGCCAGTGCAGTGGCACACACCTGTAATCCCAGGAGGATCATTGTGAGTTCAAGACCAGCCTGGGCTACAAAGTAAGCCCAAGGCCAGAGTCTCTCACTCACAGTGAGACCCTGTCTCAAAAAAAAAAAAAGAAAAGAAAAGAAAAAGAAGAAAGAAAGAAAGAAAAGAAGTGGCAAAAAAAGAAAAGAAATGGCAAACAAGTATGTAAAAAATTGCTGAGCAATGCTAATCATCAGGAACATGCAAATCAAAACAGCGAAGTAACATCTCACATGTTAAAATATTTACTGTAAAAAAAGGTAAGTGTCAACAAGTATGTGGATAAACTATAAACTTTGTTCACTGTTGGCAGGAATGTGAAATTATGTAACAGCTATGAAAAACTGGAAGTTTTCTAAAAACTATATGATTGAGCAATCCCCTTATTATTTATTCAGAATAAACTTAGAATTTCAAAAAACAGCACTTCTATATTGATTTTAGCATTATCCACAAAGGCCAGTATAAGGAAACGACCTAAAGTTTTGATGAATAAATAAAGTAGAATATATCCATAAATGGAATTTTGTTCAGCTTGAAAAGCAATATTGCCATTTGTGACAATTAAAGACATTATGCTAAATGAAATAATATAGTCAGAGAAGGACAAATACTGTATAATTCCACTTATATGAAGTATATAGAGTTGTCAAAATCATAGAAGCAGAGAATAGAATAGTGGTTGGCAGATGCTGATGGGAGGGGAAAATGAGGTATGTTTTAGTTACTTTCCCCTTGCTAGGACACAACAGTCAACACCCACAGCTTAAAGAAGGAAAACTATTTTGGTTCAGATTTTCAGTCCATGGACAGCTGGTTTCAAGGCAGAAACAGCAGGTGGGAGAGCCTTGCAGAGAAAAGCTTCCCATATTGTAGTAGCCAGGAAGCAGAAAGCAAAGGGAAGGACAGGGAGGGAAATAAACACCCTTCCAGGTCAAGCCTCCAGGGACCCACCTTGCAGGCTCTGCCTCCTAACATAGGTCAGCTATGATGTTTTCATAATTCATTCACCTTCCAACCCCCATACTCTGCACTTATGTACCTTTTAGGGCATTCTAGATCTAAACCATGGCAAGTTACTTTTCACCAGCCTTTGAGTTTCAAATATGTAAGATGACTAAGTTCTAGAGAGCTACTGTATAATACTGTACCTATAGTGAATAATAATATATTGTACACTTTAAAAATTACTTAAAAGATCCATCTCATATTAAGTACTCTACAGTAAAATCTATTTGAAAATTAAGAAAAGGAGTCAATTAAAAATAGAAATGACAGAAGAGGAAAATATTTTTAAAGTCTTCATTGAAATGAAATATATATTGCATTAATTAAATAGTAATAGTCTATATGCCAGGGAATATTCCAATAATTAAATGCAATGGCAGAATGGAAAACGTAGTAAAAAGATTAGAAAGAAAGCTGAAATTTCTCAAAAAAAGAATCAAAAAACAAACAATGAAAAAAGAAATTTGAAAGAAATACATTGAAAGGAATAGTATATTCAGTTCAGCATCAGATAATAGGAATTTCAGAAAAAGTTAATTAAAAAAGAGAAAAAAAAATAATTCAAGAGCTACAGAACATGTATTTGTGACTTAAAACACCCACAGTGGGTCTAGTAACAATATGAAACAAGGTACAATATTATGAAAACTCAGAACATGCAAGGAATGGAGGAAACAGAGTAAGTTATACAATTTGGTACAGTTTGGAATTAAATAGATGAAAAATACACAGCAAGCTAAACCAATGGAGAAAAGACTGGGAAAAACAAAAGGTGGTCATGGTGTATCATAAGTAGAATTTTTATAATTTATAATATCTACATTAAATAGCAATCTAAATATGTGAGACAACACTGTAGGGCTAGTGAGAGAGCAGGAAAAGTGAGGATAAGGGGATATAAGAAGAAATAATGGAAAGTAAATAGAAAGCTTAAAATCAGTATCAAGTAGTAGCAGTCTTAAGTGTATCACTTAGTGATATGACACCTAGTGGGATATAGAAGTATAACACACATAAAGATGAGCATCTGCATTTACATGCATTACTTTCTTCTTCTCTTGGGATACTAGGGCTTGAACCCAGGCCCTTTTCACGGAGATGAGCTGTATCCCCAGAATTTTTTATTTTTATTTTGAGACAGGGTCTTGCTGAGTTGCCCGTGCTACGCTCAAACTTTGGATTCTCCTAACTCGACTACCCAGAGTGCTAGGAGTATGGGTATCACACCACCATGCCCAGTAGACTAGTAATATTAATGGAGCGAAAATTTAGGAAGGAAGCCAAAGATAAAGGACTAAAATAGACTATGGATCTTTTCTTACCTTGATGCCATCAAATCTTGTCCTTTTGTTCTGCTGCATCCAAAACTTTCAATTACTATAGTTTGATAGGGGCTGGGCCCCTAAGTAAAGGGGGCAGAGGTAACCGACTGGTTATAGGCTATTTAAAGTTTTGTGCCATTTCTTTCTCCCTTGCTCTTTTAGATTGGGAGTGTCCCGAATTGACAGAATACGTGCAATGCAAGAATTCCACTCTTCTGGATACTAGTAAAGCAGTAGCAATAGAGAAGGCACCAGAATTTTCAAGCCTCTCTGCAATTTTGGGTGAGTTTTTGCATTCACTTTTTTTTTTTTTTTGGTACTGTCTTAGTTACTTTGTGCTCGTCGCTGAGACAAAATACCTGAAGCCCAAAGTTGGGAAAGGAAAGGTTTATTTCTTACAGTTTTTGGAGGTTTCAGTCCACACTCAGTTGGCTCCAAGACAGGCAGGCATGGCTGGGCTGCAGTTCATGGCGGCCGCCCGCAGCAAACTCGAACCAGCAAAGAGAAAAACACACCTTCTTCCTGCCATTACATCACATCCTGGCTCCACCCCTATGTGAGTGGAGCACTGACACCATCAATCCAAGCACTATACAATGAACCATCACATATGAACAATGCAAACTCATGAGGCCTGGGGGACACAAACATAAACCATGACAGGTACCGGGGATCGAACTTAAGACTTTGTGTTTGCCAAGCAGGCACTTACGCCACTAAGCTAAACTCCTGGCCCTACATTCACTTTTTTCATTGCATAGAAGAAAAAGCTCTCATTTAGCTCAAAAAGAAATTCGTAGACTGAAAGTCAAAGGATGGGAAATAATACTCCATGCAACAGGAACCCAGAAAAAAGCAAGAGTAGATATTCTAGTTGCAGACAATGTGAACATCCAGCCAAGACTGATCAAAAGAGATAAAGAATATTACTATATACTTGTTAAGGAAAAAAATCCAAGAAGAGATAATAATTATAAATATATATATGCCAAATAGGCACATTCAACTATATAAGTACATATGGATTACATTTTTGTAACTTTTAATTCTGAGCTAATTTTAAACTTACAGGAAAATTACAAAAATACTACAGAGGTTTCCTCTATACCTTTTACCCAGATTTCCCCAATGTTATCTTTTATAAGCATGGCAGTTCCATTAGTAATGAGTAGAGTGTGGACCCCAGAGAGCCTTAGGCAGGCCCGTGGCCACCCACCTAGTTAATGTAACACCCTGGGAGAAGCTGCATCTACTTATAGGGAAGGCAACACCCAGCAGACGCGTACTTTCCCCACCCTCAGCACTGCTGACATCAAGCCTGGCAAACCATAGTACAGGCAGTCTCATACCAACACCACCTGCCCGTCAGGATGAGAAAGTCATCACAGGGAAAGTTTGGGTTCAGTATAAAAAACGGCTTCATCAACCAATATACCAACAAATACATCAACAATGTATTTGTACATCAGGTTGCCATAAAGAATAATCCCAGGAAGTACCTTCCCGGTATAGGGGATAGAGAGACTGAAGTTTGATGTTGTTGAAGGAAAAGAGAGTTCAGAGACATCAAGTGTGCAAGTGCTGGTGGAGTTTTAATTTTAAGAGTTCTTTAGATACTTATTTTTAATAAGGAATATTTAGGAATATTATCCTGTCCATGGTATAAATGGAGATAATACATTTATGTATTTGAACAAACTTATGAATATTTTCTCCCAGTTTATTGTCTTCTTTGTTTATGATACTTTTTGCCAAGCCAAAAAGTATTTATATTGAGCATGCTTTTCTCCTATACTAGTCCAATGCTAGTATAGCCCCTCAGTAATAGCACCAAGATACTAGGCTCTTTATATCTTTCTGCTAGTAAGTGTGTTGGTTTGTTACCTTCTAGCTAGAAGCCTCTAGGATTCACGGCCATATTTCTTGTGAAAAGAATATGAAAGACCAGTAGTATTCATGTATATTTTCTTTTATCAGAAGAGTTAAAGCTTGCACAAAAATTCTCCAGCAGACTTTTGTTTAGATCTGTTGGCCATAACTGGATCAGGTACCTATCAGGGAGATTGAGAAACTATGTATTTCATTTTCTTAACCTCTAATGTGGTAGAGGGGCTGGGGATATACTCAGTGGTACAGTACCTGCCAGGCAAGCACAAGGTCCTGAGTTTGAGTTCCAGTACCAATAAATAAGTAAGTAAATAAATAAATGGTAGAAAACAAGGGAAATGTTGGAAAATGGAGGTGAGAACTAGGAATGGATATTATCTAACCCAGTCTTTAGAGGATCTTTATGAGATAGTCGATAACAGCCTGAATGAATGTCTGTATTTCTACAGTGTTTGAAAGCTTTATTGACTGCGTTATGTTCAGTTTGATAACTTCTTTGCCGATAAAACTGCCCAAAAAAGCAGCCTGTCACTTCAGCAGGTATTTTGGTTAAGTACTTTGTCCACTGAAAATGATACAAATCCCAACTCAGGCTGGGCACACCTGTAGTCTCAGCACTGGGAGGCTGAGACAGAAAGATCACAAGTTCTAGCCCAGCTGCAGCAATTCAGTGACTTAGCGAGATACTGTTTCAAAGTTTAAAAAAAAAAAAAAGATAAAATCATTGGGAATGTAGCTCAGTGCAAAAGTCCTGGATTCTCTTGGCAGTACTAGAAAAAACAAAACTGTCCTCAAATTATGTTAAGTTAAATAGTGTCATACATACTTCAAAAATCCAGCAGTAAATCAAATGTATATGCAGCTTAATCCAGAGTTTCAAATGGTATCAGTAGGACCCATTCATATATCTCTCTCACTTCAAGATTCCTTTGTGTTAATTATGTTTTTTACTAACCCTCTTTATATAGCAATTCTCTCTGGCTCTAGGCTTATATAGTCACAGCCCAAATCCAATGAGGAAAGTGCTTTTTTGCCAACTATTTGAACAGAAGTCTTGAATTTTGCCTGTTCTTTGTATTCCATACTTCATACTTGGTAGATCTTTTTTTTTTCTTGGTATCAGGGATCAAACTTACAACCTCACACTTGCCAGGTAGGCACTTATGCCACTTAGCTAAATCCCCAGCAAAGTCCTAAATTTTGTACATTGACTTAAATTAGTTTCTGTGTTTATCTCTGAACCAGTAACTTTGACCAGGGACATTTAAAACTCTAACTAAATTGAGTTAAAGCCTATTCTGGGCTATCAGAAAAGAATTAAGGAGTGTTGCAGAAGCAGAGAGTAGATGCTAGTTAAGTGTCCTTTTGCATTTTGAGAACTTCTCTCTCAAGAAAATGCATAGTAAACTGGGGAGAACCTGGAAGGCAGCTGAGCCTCCTACCTGTGAGCCAACCAGCATGTGGAATGCAGAGAACCAGGAGAGAACCAATGCCTCTGCCTGTGAGCCAGCCAGCATACAGAATGGAGAGAACTAGGATGGAAGTAATGCCCTTGCCTGTGAGCCTACCAGAATGTGGATGAGGGTGAACCAAGAAGGCAGCTAAGCACCTGCCTGTTGAGCCAGCTGGAGCATGAACTGGGAAGAACCAGAAAGGCAGCTAAGACCTTGCTATAAAACAGCCAAAGCATGGACCGTGGAGAACCAGGAAGGAAGCTACACCTATGCCTGTGAGTTCACCAGAGTGGACTGGAGAGAACCTGGAAGGCAACTAAGGCCCTGCTCATGAGCCAGCTGGAGCACAGACCACGGGGAACCAAAAAGGCAGCTATCCCCACCTGTAAGCTATCCAGAGTGTGGACTGGGGAGAACCAGGAAGAAAGGTAAGCCTCTGCCTGTGAGCCAGCCTGAAGCTGGTAGTCTGAGCAACCATTTAGAGGACAATAATATCACTGTTTTGTTTCATTTTATTATTGTTTTATTTTCTTAAAAATAAATACAAAAAAGAAGACAAAATGTATACAAGGTGCCATTCCCTTCACCTCTCCTGAACTGTTATGATTTTAAAGTTTAATATTAACATAAGCAAAGTGTTACAGATGGTAATGTGTTGGGAGCCGCGGCCGAGCCCGGTCGCCTTACTTGGCGGACGTGAGGCCTGTAGGAAAGAGCAAAGCCTGAGCTAGATTACCCCTCCCATCGAATGTGCTAAGATGGCGCTTATCTCCTGCTTGGTAAACAACCCGCCCTGTAAGATCTCCTGCTTCCTGCTTGGTAAACAACCCGCCCTGTAAGATCTCCTGCTTCACAACCCGCCCTGTAAGATAGTCTGCCTAGCAACAACTGATGTTAGCCAATCAGCCCGCATCGCGCACTTTGAACTGGTTGGCCACTGTAACCCTATAAAAGTGAGTGCCTCTCCCGCCAAGAAAAAAAGAAGAAGCAAAAGAAGCAGAAGAAGCACGCAAGGAGCCGCGGAGAGCGGACCGGTAGAGGCTTCGGGACAGACTGTAGGAAGAAGCACGCAAGGAGCCGCGGAGAGCGGACCGGTAGAGGCTTCGGGACAGACTGTAGGGAGAAGCACGCAAGGAGCCGCGGGGAGCGGACCAACAGAGGCTTCGGCCGGGAGGATTCCCGGGGCAGGCTGTACGGAGAAGGAAAATAAAAGAAAAGGTTGTCCACTGCCAGACTTTGTTGTGTGTCCTTCCTGCCGGCCGGGAGTGACACCGACAGTAATGGATATTTCTTCTTCACAAGACTGTTCCCATGGTTCTTTATAATCCAAGTATGCTGGCATATCTAAGGCAGTAAAATGTGAACTGAGAAAGGCTCTTGACAAATCAGTCTACTGGGATGGGTATCTAAATATTTGGTAGTAGGCTAAGAGGCATGAGATTTGGTTTAAGTTCTGGGTATATAGCTATTAGTTTTATGTCTTGGCCAGTTATGTAAAATGGGGTTAATAAATTGGTATATTTGATTGACAGAATTGTTAGGACTTCTAAGATGATAGATGTAAAAAAGACTCCAAAATTATAAAGAACTGTCCAAATACAAGGTATCAGATTCCAGTATCTCTTGAAATTTTATAACTTTTTGTTTTACTGTGGTAATTTGAAAATAATTTTACCTAAATTAGTAGTAGATGGAGCCAGGGATATAGCTCAGCAACATAATGCCTGCCTGGCAAGCATGAGGTCCTGCATTTGATTACCAGTTCCAAAAAAACAGTAGGCATAAAAATATAGCATTATAAAATTATAAACATAAATTTTACCACTATATATGTATATTGGAGAATATTAATTTTTGCTTAGAATAATTTTACGCATTTGTCTATTTCTAGTAAATTGATTTTTTAGGTATCCCTTTAGAAAACTGTCAGAAGTCCCATGA